TCTCTCTCTCTCTCTCTCTCTCTCTCTCTCTCTCTCTCTCTCTCTCTTTCTGTCTCTCTTTGTTTCAGTTTCATCTTTAGTAATCATTACTTCGATAACAATGTTTAACAAGTAAATATAAAAATATATTCATATAATCACAGACTTGGATAATTTGTGTGTGTGTTATTTCTCTCGCTTAGTTATTTCTTAACATGTTTGGTTGTATATCGATTCTCAAGTCAAATGATTGTGGTTTTTCTCCTTCTTTCTTGGTCGATCTCGATTTGCATCTCATCAGATCGCCAAAAATGACTGTTATAACATGACCACAATTGCATCGCCGAAATAGTCAACATTGTATTTCTGCATAAATCACGTCTTATGTCTTCTATAAATCACATTTCGACTTGTTATTTGGATTCATTTCCAGTCAATATTCGATTAGTACACATTTCAGAGAGCAATAAATTCTCAGTTTTTTTTCTTCTTTTATTGTATTTAATAATAATTATGTTAATATGCAAACATTTGGTATCATCTTTTATTTAGTATCAATTGATACATAAATATTCATTTATTGAAATCACTTTGACACACATTGACAAATTCAAAGCACTTTATCGTTTTACATTTCCGCAGGAAAGGTATTTTTTATTTTTATTTTTATGTCGTCTTCATCAATCATCGTCGCAATCATCAACCAATCTGCATTTCAAACGATTCGCGTTCTCTTTATTATGCAATGTGTGTATGAATACTTGCATCGTGAAATAAATTTAAATAATTACAAGTGATTTCACTTATTTTATCTGTAGACCATGAAGGCACCATTCACATTTACAAGACTGTTTACTTGAAATGCTTTCGTTTTCATACAGAAACAAAAAATGACTCACGATTCATTGACTTTTAGCTTCGTCGAGATTTTGGTATTTCGATCGATACTAAATTCGTTTCGATTGTAATTATGTTTCGAATGAGATCGGCGAAAAATGCGACACATTTAAAATGTCCATCGATTTTATGTTCTCGTCGCTCTTTCGTCTCTCTGTCTCTCTTCAATTTTCAAACAGAAAACAATTTTATTTTATATATATATTCTTATTTATTATATCCTATATCATATGGGGTTTCTTTGCTAAATCGTATTCCATTCTACTATTTAAAATCAATAAATTTAAATGAAGGAGGGAAGAAAGGCTGCGACAAAAAACTTGTCTAAGCATGCGATTTAATATTGATTTTGATTTATTCTCTCTCTCTCTCTCTCTCTCTCTCTCTCTTTCTCGTTCAATTAGACCCAATTCGAAATTCGGATTCATCATAATTTCGAACTGATTACATTATTAAATTTTAATTTTTTTTATTTTCTTTGCTACGTTCTTCGCATTTTCCAACAAAAAAACAATAATCGCTGATATATTTATTTTTTTATGATAATTTCCGAATATGCGTTAATTTTTTGCAAGTAAAAAGTAAAGAAAAATGAGGAAAATAAATAAATATACGGTCATTGTCAATTTTTTTGACTGCGTTCACGATTTTATGTTTTGTTATTTTTAAATATGAATCATATAATATGATTAAAAAAAATTTCATGCACACAAATGATGCATTTTCGTTTTATTTAGAAGAAAATTAAATTATCCAAAATGAAAAAAGCACAAAAAAAATCTCTACCAGTGTATATAAATGTATTGCTGTGCCCAATTCTATAAGTTTTTTCAATGGATTTCATTTCTAACTAACGCTCGCTTAGTTTTTTTCTTTCAGTTGTATATTCTGAATCGTGTTTATGATTGATTTCTATAATTTTTTTCTTTTATTTAATGAATGTTAGTGTTATACTAATTTATATATCTGCATCAAATTAAATAATGTGATTAGTACTTTTGGGCATGCTCAATGGTATTGAGACATCGCCAAATTTTCATAATTTTTTTTTTGTTTTCTCGAGGGAACTATTTTGCTGTGAACGTATTTATTTATGCGGGAGAAGAGAGGGGTAGCTGGTGGATGACAATCCGAGTTTTGATTTTGGAAAAGGGGAAAAAAATTCTGTTCGCAATCATTTGATATCAATTAATAGAAATAACGAGTTGACTTCGAAGGACACTAAAAAATATGGGAAAAAAAAATCCAATTCAGTTGAAATATTTTGAAAATGATGCAAAAAAAGTGAATTTATCCTTACAATTTAGATCAATGAATTGGCATTTGGTGTTTTCTAATTCTATGCATTGACCACATCGTCGTTGATAATTGATGGTGACAAACGGTCTGCGCTGCTATCGAGGGTATTGATTGCATTGGTGCCGCTATCTTCGTCGTTATTTTCGTCGACGACGTCCAATTTGTTGTCAATTGAATCGCATTCGATGCCGCCGGCTGCTGCCATTTTATTAGCAGTAATACTATTCGTTCCTTTCTTTGATTTTTTCTTATTCACTTTTGTATTGCCGATATTTATTCGATCATTATTGCTTACGTTGGCATTGGCAGTTGTATTACCATTAACACCATCAACGGCGGTTTCATCAACACTTTCCGTTGGTTCGTCAAGCGTTAAATTTGTCAATTTTGCAGTTAGATTACCATTTTTCCTAGGGTTAATCACAAAGAAAAGAATGGAAATAATGGAAATTAATCAATATGTAATGGAACGTAATGGAAGTAATGGAAACATATAATGAAAATCAAATATGTATATTGTAGTAATCGTCACACATTTGCAACAGCATTGCTTTAATTTGAGATTTGGTAGTAGTGTTAAGAATCGCGTTCTGTTGTGGAAGAACAGAACTACTACTACTACCAAATCTCAATTTTTGTCAGCAAAGTGTTTGCTAACGCAGCTTCGTTCAATTCATTTGCAAATTGTTTTTAATTTATGTGTGTATATGTGTGATCAAACCCTTACTACTTTCTTACATACTAAATAGATTTTGATATTGTGATTTTTTTAATTGGATGTAATGGAAAAATAATCGATAGAATGGATAGCATTCTTCAATAATGGAATAGTAATTTTCAAAGTAAGTATACCCCCCATTTTGCTCATCGAGCATTTCATCCAGCTGCTTTTTATCATTTGACACATCGTCCAATGATGCCACTTCGTCGTCTTCCTCTTTTAGAATTTCGTGACACATTGATTTTGCGAGATTTGACGCTTGATTTGTGGTTCTAAATAACGAAAAAAGTGGTTTTATAAAATGTCATTGGATTTAAAAGACAAAAATGTCCAAAATTAATGTATCTGTTCAGAAGGACCAGCACATACCCATTTCCATTTTCAGCATCTTGTCCGTCTTTGGTGGCATCTGAGGTTACTTTTGTTTCATCAGCCTTATTTTCTGAGTTGTCGATGGCCTGCTTTTGGTTCTTACGATCTGTTAACAATTGAAATTTTTTTGGAAATTTTGTTCTCGCCAAGAAAAAAACGTATATGCTTGGAAATCGATGCTTACCATTTTTCCGATTGCGATTACGGTTTCTTTGTCGATTGACTTTATTGTTACCGTATGTATTTCGTGAAATGGTTCGACCTAATGATGTAATATGTTGTCCGCCTAAATTGCGTTGTAAGCGTGAATTGGTTGGCAAACGACAGCGTGGATTCATTGGATAACGCATCAACTGTGATGCAACTGCACCACCCGATGCGGCCGCAACAGCAGCCCGATTCAAACGTGCTTGTACGCCATTTCCACCATTTCGATTTGGCACACCATCGGCCCAACTGCCAACCACAACACCGCCAACTTTCAATTGATAACCGCCCATCAAATGCTGCAAATCAAACGGATTAAATTTAATGACACCCTTTCCAAATGGATAAAAAACGATTATACCTCATGCTGTTGTTGCTGTGCTTTATTATTAAAACGATGATTGGCATTATTGCGACCGGTCGACACATGATTGAAATAGTTTTGTGAACCTTGATGGGGTTGCTGTACTTGATGTTGAATCACCGAATTATAGTAAGCTGATGATGAACCATTCGGCATTTGTGGAATGTTTGCAATTGAATGCATTGAATTTTTGCCGTACGCTTGTGACATGGAAGCATTTTGTATAAAACCAGCACGATACAATGGATCTGAATCAGGTGAATCGGTTCACGTATGTGTTAATAAAAATTTAAACAAATCGGGTTAAAATTTATTACATACCGATATGAGCAGGCAATAGATAGTGTTCCACATCTTCTAAAATGGCCTTACGGAAGCGATCAACCTTGAGTACAATATCGATTTGGTTGTCGCATAAATCCCGAATTGATGGAACATACGTTGACATCTTCAATTTAAAATGAAACAGCTTTCCGTCAAAGAATATCCATGGATTTGACATAACCCATGGCAATGGTACGCCGCATGCATCGTTTGCCAATGAGGCCGTTTCAACGCCTTGCATGAATAATGTGGCCAAATAAACGCCACGCAGATGAACACCTGGAAGCACTAGTTCTTGTGTAAAATCAACGTTATTGATATCCAATGAGAAGGCAGTCGCTAAAAATGCATCCAATTCCAAGCGAGTTAAAATTTTTCGCTCTGGACTCGTGATTATGTAGCGCAATACGCATGCCAATACCAATAAATGTTGTGGCACATATGTTCGATTTAACATTAACGGTGTATCGGAACGCATCACAGTCAGAAAGGCTTTCATTCGTCGTTGCTTATCTTCAAATGCCATACCAAACCATAAACGTTGAATTGTTGGTACGGCCCATGGTAATTGAACAGCCGGCACTTGATCGGGTTTTTTGTATTCATTTTGCGGTGACCAAATCCATTCGGATATCAACACATCGGGCACAATTGACGAACGATTTCCAACGGATGGCGATGATTTATCTTTGACTTGACCACCACCGCTACCGCCCAACGATTTTGAACACAAATATTTCTGATGGTATAAATTGAAGAGAATTGCATAAATCATTTGACGTGCCGGACGATAAAATAGATGAATCGATGGTATTTCACGGTATTGCTCATCTTCTAAGATCTAAAACACAAATAAACATGAAATCATGTATGTGATTAAGGTTTTTTTGTGATATTTTTCTTTGTTTACCTGCGGCAATATTATCTCTTTTTTGGTCAACAATTGATAAATGCGCGAATCCATAATACCTAAATAGAAAAAAATTAAAATTTGTAAAAAATAATAGAAATATGTGAAAGGATGCCTTTAATAAATCAATAAATACCGCGTTGATGGCGATTCAATGAAGTCTTCAAGACTTCACCGGGGAGTGCGTACACAAATGTTGTTGATTTCTTGACAGCACCTCCACTACCGCTTCCGTTTGCTTTGCTTTGATTGGTATCATTGTTGGTGGATGACGCAACTTCCGAAGCGCTTGTTGATGTTTCAGTCGATGCAACATTTGTCGATTCGCCATCATCCACCAAACTGCTAACATCTTGCAAAATCTTACGAGCAATTTCATCACCTTCACTGGTCTCAGATGCAAGCGGTGCCATTGGTGTATTCTCATTAATGCGCTGAATTTCAATTACCACCTTACGTTTGCTTGAAAAGAACTTTTTACTTGTCGAAAATCGAGCCGTTCGCTGAAATAAAAACAAATCAATTCATCGAAATTGTTCAGCGTTCTGTGATCTTCAGAATGTTCATCGATCTCCTTCAAATTACCTTAAAATATTCAACGGATTCCTTAAGCTCTTTGGTCCATTCTTCCAAGCTCAAATGACGTATAAACTCATCGATATCGTTTGTTGGTGAATTTCGTATAATTTCGGCCAATTTTCTAATGCGCGCCTCAAAATCGGATGCAAAATCAATGTTGATCTTTTTATAAATTGATTTGAGCATTGTTTCATCGATGAGAATGTAACCGCCAAGAAAAACGGCCATATATGGTAAATGATCGGGTGTTAAGCTTAAATTTGACAACAACTTTGACACCAAATATTCTTTGGTCTCCAATGCACCTTTGTATGATAGCCGTAAATCATGCGAACTATAATATTTGGATGTATTTGCAATCACATAATCAGCATTCAAACCAAGAATACCATCCAATTTATATTCATGGAAATAATCGATGACTTCCATCGTATGATCGTATACTGTTTGAACCTGTTTTTGAAAAATTGTTCAATTAAAAATAATTAAAAAACAATCAATAAAAATCGCAATTTGTTAGAGAAAAAACCATTCAACAGTGTGGAATCACGGGTACTCAATTTTTCACTGTCAAAAGGATTTCCTCTGTTTGGCAATATTTCTGTCGAAAAAGGAACGATTTTTTTCTGTCGAATAAAACAATAAATTTACGTACTACAATAACATTCATGCTGCGTAATGCATTTCGCAAACATGTACGAAGACCCGATGGCGGAATCCACCAAATTTTCGGCGGTGGTGTTCCAATCATTCGTATATGCTTCAACACTGATATTGTTTTTTGGCGAATTTCTACCCGTTCCGTATGCGATTTCTTATTCTCTTTCAGTGAACCATCGAAAAATGCAATCAACTCAATATGCGCTGCATTGAATGCATCGACCAACAATCGAACAAATTGATAGGCACGATTCCATTGGCCGCCACACGCCCAATCTAATTGGAAAAATTAAAATAAATCAATATTAACACGTTGAAAATTATTTCTCATGCTCATCGAAATTGATCTTGACGCTAAAAATGAAAATGAAGAAATCAAAATTACCTGAATAATATCCTCCATAGAATCGGTCAAGGCAGTCTTCGATATCAAGTGCAATTCGGAATTTGCCATGGTGATTGTGGCTGTATTTATTCTTCGATGCTACAATAAATAAATAAAAATAAGTAAGTAAAGCTTTAAAGTCACACCATTTATCTAGTATTTAGAAAAAAGGAAAATGAAAAATGCATCAAGAGAAAAAAATGCGAAAATTGTAACTGAAAAATCGTATTTAAATCGAATTGAAAATAGATGGATGGTAGCGACAACTATATTGACATGAATGAGCATATGTGAATGTGCAGGTTGGTGTGTGCGAAATAACCTAACCTAACTTTATTACGGTTAAATGTGTCAAAAGTAATATGTATATATGACGACAACGACTGCGATGCGAATGGATTGTATGTATTGTGGGGTACACGGTGCGTTGTTGGTTCACTGCATATTTGTTGTCGTTGTACGTGTGAGAGGAAATGGATGGGAAGGAATGAATGCTCCGCTATTACAGAGAGACAGAGCCAGTGAAGTGGCTAAAAGTGGACTATCGCCTTCTTTTCTCGCTGAATAATTTCAATTTTGAGAAACTATTCGCCTCTGTGTCAATCGCAGTGTCGACTTTAGTCGGTGCATTTAATGTGAACACCATTTATTTTCCCTTGACAATAATGACACAAAACGTTCTGACTGATATAGATGTGAAATTTACCTGCATTTGCATACTGTGCATGATGTGCTTGTCCGATTTTGAGTAGATCCACCGGAATGGTGCCTCCTGGAATTTTCTCAAGAAATACTTGTAGATCGGCTGTATCAATCATTTTTGGTATCGCACGAAATTACTTGTCACACACAAACTCAAAACCCGGTACACTTCTTCTTCTTATTCTTCTTTTTCTTATTCGATTTTTTTTTCTTTCTCTTCGTTTGTTTTACTATACAGACACAGTCTCTGGGGGGTTAAATCGTATATTTTGACTAAATTTTGTTCACAATTTGCGGTCAATCCAATTGACGAAGCTTTCGTTTGTGGTATTATTCTTTGTTTTTTTTTATATTGGTGTTTTTGTCTGGTTTGTATGCGCCGCGCGACGATCGATGATGTTGTTTTCTCTCCCTCGCGCTCTCTCTCTCTTTTTCGGTGTGTTTGTGTGTGTTTTACTATGCACACGAGATATGCGAAATGCCAAAATCGGATTTGATCGATGACGAATTGCAAAAAATTTCACACGTATACAAAAATTATGATTTTTTTCTCTCTCTATCACTCTCACGGTATGGGAATAAAATTGAATATGAGATATACACTGATAACACTAACTTCTTGTTCTTCTTGTGTTTTAGCGGCAATGCATCAACAAACCCAAACGATGATGACGAAAAAAAAGAAAAAAAAATATAATAATAAAAGAACCGAGTCGCGAAATTTGGTTAGTTTAGTTTTAACGACTTCGTTATATCCTGTGTAGATTTGGTTTTAACCGACTCATACACTCAATTTATTTATAATTTTTTTGGTTCGTTCGAAATTTTTTTTTTTTTTTGCTACTGTCACTGGGGCCTATGTGGCCTGTCTATTTTGCTTTCATTTATCACGATACGATTCGGTATGTAAGCGGACTCCGTATTTGATTAACCATAGTACTGTTGCTGTTGCTGATTTAGTTGTTCATTTTTTTACACTTGATTGCCGTCTTTTTTGTTTGCGTTCGCATGCGTGCGTGTGTGTATGCGATCGAATTAGATGGCCGAGAGAATCAAAACAGATTGCACCGATTTTACACTGATCAAAATCTATATATCAATTGTCAATGTTTTGAGATTGATGAACTAATGATTTTGTTTCGTTTTTTTTTTTGTTGCTTCAGGTTTTTGTCAATCAATTTGGTGATGAATTGTTGTTGTTCTTTTATTCACAGAAAAAAATGTAATGTTGGTATTATGAATCGATGACTGTCAAACTATGCAGCACCAAAAGACAAACCGCGATAATTTTTTTTATTGATTTATATGGTATGACGACCGGTGTATGATAAGCCCAAAGTGTCTGTGTGTTTTCTTCTTTCGACGACTTTTCTTCCGTCTATTGAGAAGAAGTGAAAAAAAAAGTTATGTCGCGTTCAGTATACGATTGTTGTTTTTTCTCTCTTTCTCGCTGTTCTTCTTCTTCCTTTTCGATTTGCACCTTACACTTGTATGTCTGTCTTAAACTCACATACACGCAGGAGCTAAAATACGCAAACACATAAACGCACTGTGTGCACACCAATAATCAAACCGATAGAACTATTCACACTTCGCATACTTTTATAAAAATTTCAAGACTGTGTACTTGTTTATTTCTCAATTGATTCACTTCAGACCGCATCAATGGGCTGGCAGATACATTGCGAAGAGAGCAAAACTGAAAATTCGACGATACAAACAAAGTGCCAAGTCCAAAATCAAATCCAAATTATTATGAAATTTTCTTCGGGTTTCTGTTTTTTTTTTTGTGTGTTGTGAAACGAAAGAGACGAAACGACAGATCGCACAATCGAATCACGACAACAGAGCCAGCAACGGCAAACGAAGAGAAGAGTAGAGAATAAAAAAAGTAAACACATACAGCTCGTTTAATTTTATATCGGTGCGACCGGCGTATCGTGTGTACATGACAAGAGAGAGCAAGCGAGTGCGAAATAGAGCGCGCGCGACAGACACACACCGAAAACCGACCAAAAAGAGATATGAAATAATCCAATGAGAAAGAGTTGGCCTGACTGAAAAAGAATTGCGCTACTTAAACACCGTTCTTTCGATGACGACGACGACAACGGCGACTACGATTTCTTCTTCTTTTTCGTTTATTTGATATTTCGTTGTGTCGCACTCTTTCTCCCTCGTTTTGCACCGTTTTTTTCTATTATTTGTCGTTCACTTGTTCAAGAATTTCTCCTCACCTTTCAACCACACGAGTCTTTTTTTTTGCCCCAATTGCACTTGTTAAGAAGGAGTTATTGAGAAAGAGAACATAAATATTGTCACTCTTATATCAAAAATTAATCATTCACATTCGCATGGCTCAATCAACTCTTTTAACTTCTCTTGCGAGCCGAGAGAGATATTTTCCATCACCCACAAGCAAATCAACAAAAGTCAATATTTGCCTCGTTTCTTTCTTGCTGCCGTTCTTCCGTTCTCGATTCACTTTGTACTGTACAAATGTACATACATGTATTCTTTTTTTACAGTCTCACTTTATTATTTCTTTTAGAATTTTTCGCGTTTTTGTTTTTTTTTCTTGATGTTTACTCGAAATCAATTTTAACCAATTAATTTTATTTGGGAGAGAATTTATATTGTGTATTATTTATAGTTCTCTTCTTTTTTCCCTTTTCATATGGTAATTGTTATGCATCAGAAAGAGAGATAGCTTATATGAATATGTCATCACAATCTATATATGTGTGTATGGTACTTTTCGAATGGATTTCGCCGCTGTGCGCACAAGAACTTTTGTGTTGTGTAAGCGAATCGTTTAGTTTGTGCGGAAATGAGAAAAAAAGCGACTAAACGACAACCCGAGAGTATCAAAATCATGTTCAAGACGATTCTGGTTCGATGAGAATCGACAGCATCCGTTTAGAATGATTTGTATGCAAGTTTTTTCTAGTATGCACTTCATAATCGCACAGGCGACTAATTACGAAAATACTCGACTTATTTTAACGTCAACTGTATCGAGAGCTAATTTTGTTTTTTTTTCGTTATCTACTATCATTTTGTTTTTTTTTTCGTGTTCATTGGAACATATTCATTCGTCGCACATAAGTGTGTGAATGTGCAAAAATCGTACCGTTTATATGTGTTCGTGCGCACATTTTTTTCACAGTCGTTTCGCACATTCAGAACAATATATCGGATGCAAACATATGTGATGGTATCTGTCCAATTCGAAATGGTCTAATTTGAAACGTCAACAATCGCTGTTACATGTGTTTGTAAATGATATTTAAAAAAAGTAATGTGTGTATGCATGTATGTTCTTTCTTGCCGTTTGCCAGATTGTCGTTTCAACGAAACGTCAATATTCATCGCTTCGTTGTCACGATCGCGCTCAGCCATAATATGATAAGACTCACATATCGAAATCGGAATTAAATTTTCCGTTAAAGATCGATACATTTCGAAATGGACGGCTGCCATAACAGTACTTATAATGGACAATATTAAAATCAAATGCATCATGATTGCAATTGAAAGAATAAAGATGACCGTAAGAAGATATCTGATATGTTTAATTTCAATTTCCAAAAATAAATTTTATTTCAATTCATAAATGTTTTCACTGTTAAAAAATGTACTTCACAAACGAGCGTCTGAAATGTAACTAAATTATTTTCATGTGTATGCATGAAATAATGAAAAAGGTTCTTTCAGATATTTAGAAAGGGACAAATATAGATTGCTACAAGTCATTGTCCAGTTGAACTTTGAACACCATCAGGTGTTCTTCATTTGTTACACTACTTCTAATTAAGGAGACGATGACAACAAAAATGATAAAGAAAAAAATCGAAGATCAAACTTTGAAACCAATGCGAACGTGTGCATACAATTCCATGGAATAATCATAAACGTTGACTAAGAACCAAGAAAAACAAGCAAAACGAAGAAGAATAGAACTCAAGGGACGACAGGTAAACACACTTGAAATTTTATGCAGGAGCAGAAGCAGCAAAAGAAGATATAAACGGCAACCGGAAATGGAAAATTGGCTGACAAAAATGAGGAAATGACCCCCCAAAAATGAAAAATTGACCACCAAAAAATGGGGAATTGGCTGTCAAAAATGGTGCGTTTGGTTGTCAAAAATGGGTAATTGGCTGTCGAGCAGATGGAACAAAGAATAATTGAATTTCATTGATAGACCAAGCGGGGAAACAATATGAAACAACGAAATGAAGAAAAGACAAAAAACCATAAGAAAGATAATGTAATTAAAGTATCAAATTGCATCGAATAATATTACTTTTTCTTACTTTCAAGAAATTTTTACACATTTTTTTCGTTTTTTTTTATCGACGCATTTTTGACAGCCAATTCCCCATTTTGAGGGGGGGGGGGCAATTTCCCCATTTTTGTCAGCCAATTTCCTCATTTTTGACAGCCAAATTTTCCTATTTTTGACAATCAAAAGCTACATTTTTGACAGCCAATTCCTCATTTGTCACAACCAAACGCACCATTTTTGACAGCCATTTTCCCATTTTTTAAAACCAAACTCACCATTTTTGACAGCCAATTCCCTATTTTTTGGGGGTCAATTCCTCATTTTTGGAGGTTCAATTCCCCATTTTTGTCAGCCAATTTCCCATTATTATACGCCAAAACCAATGGTTTAAGCGAAACAAAGAAATGCGATCCACACAGAAGGGAATATTTAAAAAAAATGATCGTATTATCCCATTTAATTATTTATTATTAACAGACGAATCCGATAACTAATAGTGTATATAGAGAACATTACCAGCACCAGCCGACCAACCATTACCACTTATAAATAAAAGTCTCCTTTTTCAAATGACCACACACACACACACACACTTAATATGCTGCTTGTGTTTCTCACTCTATTGTGAGAATAACTAGGATTTTAATGTGACGCTTGTTGTTTGTTTGCTCGTCTGTTCTTAGATTTAGGGTTTCTCTTTGTCAAAAACATTTTCTTGAGAGTATCGTTATAGATCAAGCCTTGATCATCAAAGTGGTTTTTGTTATGCACTTGTACAGAATGATCAATCCTTATTTGATAGAAATTGTCTCAGCAAAGAAAAACAAATTACCTCATTTCTTAATTCAATTTACCCTGAAAATTGATTTGCACAGTTTGTGACATGAAAAAAAAGAGATTTTATAGGTTTTATTTATCGTTTTGTTACAACAAATCATTTTTATATTCTCGTATGACTATATATAAACACAATTGTAGTAAATTTGGGGTGAAACGATAAAATTCTAGTTTTACTCATAACAATCTATCTATTTGTCGATCTGTCTCAAAAACAAAATTCCTCTCAGTGTTTATGGTGCATTGTGGTTTTTGGGATATTAAGAATTATAAAATTTTTTTGATCAAAACTACAAATTGAGTACTAAATCGCTGTGCAAAAAGAATTTAATTTGTACACAATACAAAAATCACGTATTTTGCGGTTTTTCGTGAATGTCGAACACTTTTTTTTCAAACATCCAAATATGAATGAAATTATCTGAAAAAAATTAACTGCCATAATTGCTAATTAATAATAATCAAAATGTATTAAACATTTAGCTAGAATCAATTTTTCTCACCAATGGACGCATGTTATTTGTGCTGCATTCAACATTTTTATCGGGGAAAAGTGTACTTTTCTTCAAAATCATGAAATGTGTGTATTACATTGTATGTTTAGAAGTAGTTTATTTTGAACAAAAAAAAGAAAAAAATGGAATTAATAACAAATAATTATCATCGAATAAAAGCATTTTCAATTAAAAAAAAAAATCATTTAAAAAATTAAAAACTAGAGACAGTTTTGAAAAGGGATAACATTAGTTTCTATGTAAAATTATAATTATGATTCCTCAAATAAATTTACTCGAAATAAAAAAAAATCTGTTGGATACTTTGCCTAATTCTACTGGAAATAGAAATAAATGGTCGTTATTCGATTTCAGCTGGATGTTCATATAAAATATTGAATCGTTTTTTATTTGAAAAAAAAAAAAATCCTCTCTCGTTATCATCTCATGCGATGCGCAAAATATTGTATGTAGTAATCATATCGTTTGAGCGATGAATATGAGGTGTTTTGGGGTTTATCTAGGGTAATGTATATCATTTGCAATGATGGCGCTCATCAGCGTGCCGTAAACACTTCAAATCTCATTTTTGTAGACAATCTTCATGACAACCTTATTGTTTTGCACTTCCAGTGTAAAGAGGCTTTCGTCTTTGATGTTACTCAACACTTCGTCGGTGACATACACATGAATACCAGCCGGCCCATTTATATACACACTGAATTTGGTCGAGTCGCACAAATTCGATCCACTGCCCGAATATTTTGAATGCAGATCTAAGTGAATGGAGAAACAAACATTATTTCAATAAATGAATAGTTTTAGATTCACTGGCTTAAAAATTCGAAAATATCGTTTAGAAAATATTTATTCAATCAACTTACTCCATCCCGAGAATAGATTGTTCTCAACATTGGCCGATGCATTTGCCAAGCAATCACTGAAGCCCGGCAATTTGACAATTTTTTGAATTAGCTCTTTTGCCGTATTCGAGTGGAGATAGACTGCATGGTACGAGCTACCATCGAAGCTAACATAGAGTGTCAAGCGAGGTGCAATTGCTCTGAAAATATATTTTTGGTATCGATGAAATAAAAAAATTCATCTATTTTTCTTTTTCTCTGTTACTTGAAATTTTGAATATTTTGGCAAAAAAATTGGACGAAAAATATTTTATTTTTTGCGTACAAAAAAACTGTGTAGACAAAGGTCAATATTTTAAAACTTACTTCGAATGAAGTGTATTATACAAGCGAATGCCATCAGCAAGACCACAAATTTGTACCAAATCTTCTTTGGACATGCGAAACAGATCGGCACCAGAGAATTGCGAAAATGTCGGTACATATTGGCCAAGCCGATGCATATTCAGCCATTGTGTTAACATCAATGGTGTTGCATCCTTTGACATATTTAAAGATGTTGAAATGAAGCCACCATTTGAGCTATTATATTCATCGCTGTCAACGATTGCTTGTTGTGGTTTTGACGGTGATAAAATATTTTGATCCATAATTTTAACATTGGAGTTCGTCGACGAAACACTATTGATGCCAATCGGATTGCCTGCACCGTTGCTATTGCCAGTCGAGAATAAACCATCAAATTTGGTCATATGAATCGGTGAGTTGGACATCAATGGAGAACCAGATCCGCGAATGCTACTTTTTCGAAATAAATCGTGATTAAATTGAAATGTTAAAAGTTTTTATAAAATATTTACTGTTCAGGGCTGTAATTGTTGACATTCATAAAATCGCTGGGTATGTCATTTAGAATGGTGCATTCGTAGCTTGGTTGATATTTTTCCTTTTCGGCGGGCGGACGTTTTTGGATTTTCTCTCGATCTTGTTTGTGCTTGCGATCGGCTCCCTTCAATTTGAACACCTTGATTTGACAGGCGGCCGCGTGAATTGGCTTTATATTTTCTGTAATTGTACCAATTGTATTGATGCTATTCCCATTTCCATTTAGCATATTCTCCAAATAAGTTTCGATTTGAATGCGAAACGGTACACCTTTTTCACCACCATGCTTTTTTGGTGTGAATTCGGTCGAAATACAATTTATTTTTATGTAAACGCCGACCTCTTTCATTGGATCCCATAATACTTCGACCACATTCAAAAGATTCGGATTGTGCGGTTGAGCAACATGACACAAACCATACGATAATGGTACGTCGATTTCAATGATTCGTTCGCCGGGACGTGATGCTTGCCACAAGTGCATCTGTTCACGTTCCATGTATTGAAGGCGACGCTCGTGGAAACATATTTTGATGACGCTCTGATGAAAATAAAATAAAAATCAACCTCAATTAGTAGATCGAACTTGAGAGTTTCTTTTTTTCCAAAATATGAATTTTTAAGTCAAAATGGAAATATAGCGTATATCAAAATACGTTACAGCGTTGGACCAATATTCAAAAAGGGATCACGTTCTAACGTTGAAAATTATCGGTGCATTGCCAAATTGCCAACGATCGCCAAGTTTTTCGAATATTTGATTAATTTGGAGATCAGCAAGATGGTAGCCGATAAAATAGTTCCACAACAACATGGTTTTATGAAAGGTCGCTCGACTTCGATGAATCTTTTAGAATTCCTGCACTATTCTATGAAGGCAGTGAACGAAGATAAGCAGGTAGAAGTACTTTATACTGACTTCAGTAAGGCATTCGACATTGTTGATCATTCGATTCTGATTTCAAAACTACAAAACTTCAATCTGCCTCCTAACTTAATCGAATGGATCAAATCGTATTTGTCAAATCGTCGTCAATTCGTGAAATATGGGAAAATGGAGTCAAGTGAGTTTGTCGTTAACTCAGGAGTTCCTCAGGGAAGTCACTTGGGCCCCACCCTATTTCTGCTTTTCATCAACGACATTGTTAATTCCATTAAGGATGACGACATTTTTATCTCTCTGTTTGCTGACGATTTGAAATTGGCAACTTCAATCGCTAACACCAATGACTGTATCAAACTTCAAGTTGCAATCAATAAATTAAAAAATTGGTGCGAAGCAAACAAACTTCATTTAAATCTTGACAAATGCTCTGTTATGTCAATATCAAAAAAGAGAGAGCAAATCGTAAGTTCCTACTCTTATGGCAGTCACAAATTCAAGAGAGTGAGCGAACAAAGAGATTTGGGAGTTATCTTTGACAACAAACTTAACTTCATCAAACATATCGATTCAATCGTGGCTAAAGCAACATCAGCACTCGGATTCGTAAAGAGATTTTGCTACGATATTCCGGATGTCAATACTCTGAAGTCATTATATTGCGCCCTCGTACAATCAATCTTGGAGTATGGCTGTTTGGTATGGCTCCCGTACCATGATATACACAAGAACAAAATCGAATCGTGCCTGCGTCAATTCTCAATGTTTGCTCTCAAGGAGTATCCAAATATTTCAAATGACTACAGGATTTCATCGTACAGCACTCGCCTAGGCAAACTAAACATGCAATCACTCCAAAGGCGCCGTATCAACGCATCAATTCTATTCATTTTCGACTTGATGCAAAATAACGTTCACTGCCCATCACTGAAGACTGAAATTGCCCGCAATCAAAATGGACGTAACTTAAGATGTGTGGAGCACTTCAAAATCAATGACAAGAACTTCAAAATCAATCCATCAGTACCAATCAACCAAATGTGCAAAATGTCAAATAAGGTCCACGAACTATTTTCAACGCAATCAAAACGATCAACTTTCAAAACTCGACTTTTAGCCTTAAGCGATGACCATTTTTCTAACTTGTCATTGGTGTCTAACTATAACACTGTTTTCTTTAACGATCTAATGTGATACATTGTGATTTTTGTAAAGATGTAAATTATTTATTTATCCAATTATTTATTTAATTATTTATTTATTAATTATTTTCTGACTCATTGTAACCGCGTGCAATTTGAAAATGTTTAGTATTTATAAGTGTTTTTTTGCTGTTTGACGGTAATTTGAACAGTTTACTATTAACTATTTAGCTATTACTGTAAGAAGTAGCTAATTAGTTATTAGAAATCTTTATTAAAAGATGTGGTTTTTAACGGTGATCAGATGTATACCAAATGTGTATCATTGATTCATACCTTTTTCCCACCAAACAAATGTATAAAAATTATGTACAAACTCAAAAGATTCAGCCAGTTTTGGCGGTGAATAAATATTATTATTATATTATTATTATTATAGTTGGGGTCACGTTTTATGTACCTTCAAAGTTTTGCCGCGGTATGCCGTCAAATCGCCTAGTTTCTTGAGCTTAATCTCGTAGCTCTGGCCTTGATTCAAATATGTTATGGTCTCTTCGTTGTTTTTCGTTGCAATTGATGTCGCTGCAGCTAAAACATATTGAAATCTGCAAAAAATTGAAATGTTATTCCGGAAAAATCGTTAATTGTCGCATTCTATATTTATGCAAATATTCTCCCGTCAATTTTTTTTAGCATCTATTTTTCTCTATTTCCTCTTTAAATCCAACAATTAATTGTTCAATAAAAGTGACAATTTGAATATATGTCTTCATCATCACACAAAAGAATGACAATAATAAATAAAAAGTGCCATTAATTTTAGAGCTGTGAATCAAATCATAGTTTATTCGCAATTATTCATTACGGAAATGTTTAATTTTGTCGTATTCAAGCGACAACAATTCCACCCGAAAAAAATGCCCTTGTCCGGCAATTCTGACTGAGGTATAGGAATATCGATCAAAGTTCAAGAATTATTATTTGGATGCCAATGCTGCTGATGATGAAAATGGACGATTAATGAAATGCAGTTAATAGCAGTTTGGTCCAGTTCTGATCACACTATATTATAATCGGGTAGGACATTGTTTTGTTAACAAATTCGCTCAGGCGCGCGCGCACAACACTCTCGAATACATGAAATCGGCCGACTGAGAGACATCTCATTATTGTATTATCATACACACATACATAAAGTGTGTGTGCGCGTGTGTGTGTGTGTGTGAAAACCGTTTTATATATCAATGACAATGGGCTTCAATTAGATTTAATATTCTTGATTTCACACAAATATGTCGATCACTAGATACCAACGATCCAGAGTGAATGAGTGAATGAGTGCGACAGACTGACTGTACTATGGTGACCACATGTAAAATGTTTTTTATCGTTTTGAATAAAAACAAAAACAAATGTAAAACATTGGCAATTTGCGTCACAAACAGCTAACTATTTTAATTCATAATTAATTTTAATTTCCTCTTTCGGAATGTTCAGTTTGGCTGTGTTCAAAAGTCATTTCAAATTGAAACTTTCAATTTGACAAAATAGTTGTGATACATGGCATCGACTACATTTCGGATTTTTTTTTTTCATTTGGAACGTCGTTTATGCGCAGCATTTTCTCAATTTATGAAAACGAATTGAATAATATTGAGGAAAATAAATTTAAATTTGATCTATTTGTTTACATTCATTATGCCACGTTTTTGGTTCTAGTGACTTTGTCTGTTCTTTTCCAGCACTTCTTTTATACCAAAAAGAAAAGAAATAGTGAGATAGACGCTACTTTTTTATTGAGGATAATTTGGCCATTTCACACAGACCGTTTCAATTTGGATTCAAATAACTTTCAAGCACAAAACATTCGATCGAATAAACCCAGAAAGAGAGAATGAGAGAGAAAGAGATAGAGTGAAAGACGAACGATGTGGTTAACGATATAAATGAGTCGATCTCATTTAAAATGAATTGAATAATAACACGCCTTTTGTGAATGTTCGACATTCAGCATTTCTCAGTCGGGAGTGTTTCACTCAAAATTCTCTTTCTTTCGCTTCATTCATGTTACGCGTAGCTGAAATCAATTCAATTTAAAAATGGTTTATTCTTTTTGTTTGCATCTTATCATATCGATCATTCGTACGGGCTACTGTGTATTATTCAATCAACTGCGAGAAATTAGTATTTTTTAGTTCTTACTTGGATTCTTCAGCGGATTTATCCTCCTTAGTCTGACCAATGCCTGATTCTGTAACAAAAGAAGTTTGTTAATTTCCTTCAAGACATACACCAAATTGTAAATCACATACTGAGAATGTTTGAATCATTGCGTTCGTCATTCAGATCGTTTTGATTGTTGGCCTGTTGGCCAACCGATTCCAAGCAATTGACAAGATCGTTCGATGCACTGCTGTTACTGTTACCATTCAAATGGCAGGCGATATTGGCATTTGGACTGGCACCGCTGTTGTTAGTAGCCACAGTACCATTTGTAGCCGAATTGTTGGTACCGGTGTTATTAATGGCGGTGTTGTTGCCATTTTTCATGGATGTGCCATTTGCTGCCTGTTCAATTTGCGAAATTTCATCCATTTGTTCTTTGTTGAGCGGCGATGCCTTAACAATCTTCTTAGCTTGATCATTTCCGAATGGAGATGGAATTTCCTGCTTCAGAACCGTTAATGCTGATGACAGCGACAAAAATGAATCACTGTGAATTGTGAGACGAAAAATTCTTCTATAGTTTTTTGATTCAACGAATTTCCAAATGACTTTTCAATACATACTTATTCAAATACGAATTATTGGTTAAATCACCATTTAAATCGAAATCAATATCGTCCGTCCAACCGAGCCGAGCTGAAACGAAACCGAATAAAGAACATTTATAATGATAATAATAATGTCAATGATACACACTCTCATAGCTTCTGAGCAGGGGTCAGAGGGGTTGAATTAGCCCCCCCCCCTGGAGAGCAGATTTGGGAATAACCCCATATTAAAAGAGAAAAATATTCTTTCGATTTGCTAGGGATTTTCGCGCAAAATGTGAAGACCTTTTTTTTGCTCTTCACTTTCTAAAGAGGGAGAAAATATTGAATTTTGCTAGGGTTTTTGGCTAAGGAACATCTTTCAATTTGCTAATGTTTTTGGGCGAAAAGACAAATCTTTCAATTTGCTAGGTTTTTTTGAGGCAAATGCTCTGAGACAACCCCAGCCCCAGGAATGAACAATTCAAAAATGCATTTTTGAATTTGTACGAGACAAAATCGAAAAAGTTACCCCTTTACATATAAATCGTTGCGGCGAAAAAGTAGCTCTTATTTTTCTCCAAATAATACTGCAACATAAAGTTTTTTATGAATAGTTTATTTGTTGTATTACAACAAATAAACCGTGTGAAAAAAACTTCATGTTGTAGTATTATTTGGAGAAAAACTATTTCGCCGCAACGTTTCATATTTGGAAAATTTTGAAATTACCCCCCTTAGATTGCCAACTCCAGAAGCTATGCACACTCTCGATATGAATGCGACATTGTGTTTGCAAAATTGTTGTCGTCAATCACATTTTCATTTACGATGGGAGAGAGAGAGAGAAAGAGTTTCTTGGAAGCATATGAATTCAGAAATTGGTGGAAACCTTGAAAGAACAAACAATTGCAACCGAATTAATAAAACCAATTGAACGAATATGGTTCGATTGGCGCTTTTGTGTTTTTCTTCTCTTTTGTTTGTTTGATTTTGATGTCTCCAACATACTCCCTTCTAGATAAAAGAATACGAACACAAAGGCGAGTAAAGTAGGAAAAAACGAAACATGTAACGCGTCATCACATTGATTGTTTTGACTTATGGATATCAATTGGCGGCATTTTTGTATCGCAATAAAAACATTTTGTTTTTCCATTCGTCGATTTTCTTTTTTTTTCTAAATAAAAAAATATATATTAAAATCGCATATACAAACCGTTTGAATTCGTTAAGTTACTGCTAGAATTGGCGAATGTGCCATTAAGGTTATTGTCACTGTGAATGTTGTCATTGTTGTTATGATTGTTGCAGTTATGCAGTTTTATATGTGTTATTGTCGTTGATTCAACGACAGCATGTTGATTATTTATGGTATTGAATCCATGACATGGTCGTTTGCTTTCGATTTGATTGAGGAAATTTGAAAAATTCTGCATCTTTGTCAATTTTTCTTTGTTAGCTTCGCAACTTACTTTTAGACCGCTTGGGTTCGAATTTGCGGGCTTTTTTCAATCCCACCAAAATACACCCCCCAATTTCAAACGTACACTCCTTCACCCCCTAAACATACATCTGATTCTTTCTGTCGATGGTTTTTTTTTTCTTATTTGCGTTTTACATTCATCCATCAGCAACACATAAAATGTCAAGTTGATAAAAATACCAATCAAGAAATTTGAAATATTAAACTCTGAATACACGTCCAATTATGATAACGTTTAGTATTCATTTTGGATAATTGCACTGATTCGATTTTACTTTATCGTATGTGTGTGTGAAATATCACGCAGCATCTTTCTGAAGAAAAATTTGCACTCATTGATTGCATCGTTCTGTGATTCAGATGAATGAATTGATTGTTGGCTTATTGGACAAACACGTCGCGGTGCGAACTATTTTTCTTATTAAATGGCGACCAATTCATAAATGAAGCAAAACCGATTTCTTTTCTTTTGTGTTAAAGTGATGAGAAAGTGTTAAATGATCGATAAATTTAGTCTGCCGTTCAAATTTCATAAAAAAAAAACAATTTCGTCGGAGTGTTTGTTTGATCTGTTGTTTGTGTTCGGTTTGGATCTTTGTTGCGAATTTTTAGTTAGGCAGTGTGTGGCACGCGCAACCCTCATACAATGTGTGATTCGATGAGATGAGCTGAATTTCATTCATTAACAGTAACCGACTGAGAAATGAGTAATGTGTTAGACCGTCGGTGGGCACAAAAGAATGCACGAAATTAGCATAATTTAAATTTAATGAAGGTGCTAACAGTTTTCTGACCTTTTATAGCTTATAAACGCACTAAAAATAGTTATTTTAACTATGGTCGCGTTGATTTGTTTTCGTTTTTTTTTTTGTTGCCTGTTTCTTTTCTTAATTACAGATCAATGTACACTTTGAATGGAGTGTGCCGCACGCGTTGCGGCCCTTTGTGTGTCTCTCTCTGTGTGTTTCATCACTGTATTGGTGTACAATAATTAGGAGCTTTGTTTTGTTCAGTGCAAAACAATTGATTCACGAATTGTATTGAGAGAGAGAGAGACATCCGTCGAATCCCTATCAATTCGATCAATTGCACAATGTCCGTTTCGTGATCGATTCATAATTCACAGTGCGATTAGTATCACTTTGATCATTTTCATTGATAAAAACTTTGATGTGTGTGTGTTTTTATCTCGAATAAACCAAGTTAATGAATGGCCAAAAAATGGCTTTACAGAAGTGTGAATGTAAATGGATCGCCGATTAATTGCAACACTACTGAACGAGGAAAATTGAAGACTGAGTTTATTTTGTGTGCTGGCGTCAAAATGCGATGGTTGACTGTCAAAATGTGCGTGTTGTTGAAAATATGATCGGAACAACGTGAATAAATAACAAAATCACACGAAATTTCCTCATCTTGAAAGAATTTTGTCATTGTCGTGTATGTATTGATAGATGTCTGACCTTAGCATCGACCCTTCGGTATTCAAAATTCACTGTACGCATACATTTGTCTATCTCGTTCTACTTTTGTTGTGAAACATATAACGGTGTATGCGCACGTCGTTACTCAGGCCAGCTGTTAGCGAGAGAGAAAACAAACACCATGCCCTTTTTTCATTCGTCTGATTGAACAGCCTCAAATCATGTCAAACACAACATTTATGTATATTTCAAACAAGTGTGTTATCAGTCAGCTTCAAGTATAATACACTGCACAATGCAATGAAATTGAATGACAGAATGTTTTAGCCAAAACTATTAATCTTCCAATTGATTTCGCGCTATTGCTCTCTATCTCTCTCTCTCTCTCTCTCTCTCTCTCTCTCTCTCTCTCTTTATTCAATAATATACTTTCACTACCCAAGTCATCAAAGACAGATCAGCTCCTGAGTATTTTCGTTTTCTAAACTTCAGCCTTTCTATCTCCTATCGCTCATAACAAAGTGTTGTTTTTTTTCTGTTTTCTTCTTGTTGAGATGTCTGGGTGATACGAATCATTACACTTGATTCAGCCGTTTTATATACAAGTATACGTATCACTTGAATGAAGTTCATCCGTTGTTTGCACCGTACACAATGAATTTGTAGCGTAAACAAAAGAAAATGTTCAATTAGTGTGTGTCCCATCGTAAAAGTAAATTGTAAATGCAATGCAAAAAAACTCCTGCATGGGGAAGGAGGAGAAAGGAAGTAAAAGCGAAAAGGAATGCGTTCGATCGTTTTTCAGGCTGATCGATTCAAACCCTTGAAAATGGGCTCGAAATCAGAAAACGACAAAAAATAAACAAATAATGTCAAGGTTGCCGATCATAAAATACACTTATAACGAACATTAAACAAACTCAGACGATTAATAGCAATAAAATGCAATATTCATATGTTCTCTCATACGATTGATCAACTCTTATAAGCAATATCATGTATTGAATTTCAGCTGACTGGCTGACTGACTAGCGCAATGATGATGAATCGTTTTGGCGTTGAATTTCATTAATTTACATATATAATGATACTAGTTCAGGAAGAGAGCAACCGTTTTGTTTGTTTATTCGTTTTTTTCTTCATTACTCTCATTCAACTGGCATATACGCACCAGTGCACTGATTTTGCATATTTGAATCGAATCACGCTGCTATTAAATAACAACAGCGCAATTCGTGAATGTAGCGCATTCAATGTGATTGGTTGGCATTAGTAGCGCAATAGGATTTCTGTTTTGTTTTTGTTTCCAATATTTGTTTTCATTCAGAGCCTGGAACATTTTGATTTAGATTCATTTATCAAGCTACTTGTTCTCATTTAGACAGAAAGACAGAGAGAGAGAGAGCTTTGGTTGTCATAACAACATACACTCACTATTATAACGCTCCCACAAAAATAACAATTCAAACAAGATTTTTGATTTCAACCAGATGCATTTCAACAATTGCCAGAGATTAAAAATGAACTGAGTCACTTATTTTCACGTCTCAAGTGGATAGTTGAAAGCAGTTGAAAGGGATTTCATACATGTGATTTTCCTTCGGCATCAGATTCATATTTTTTCGAATAATAATCTGACTAAAACAAAAAAAAATCGAGTACACTCATGGTCATCGATTTAGGGATTTTTGTTTTTAATCTGATCTGATTGATTTAAAAGAAAAAAAATAAGTTAAACTTACCTCCGTTGACACTTTTGGTGCGATTGCGTTCGCACTCTTTTCCATTGGTCACTAAATTTGGCATTTTTGATTCGACCACACCAATGCCATTGCCATCGCCACCGCTACCATTCTCATTCAAATCCAACGAATCCCAATCCATACGGCGCTTCTTACCTTGTGGCTGCATCTGATTCACATCTAACGTTGATCCGTTCAATACTACATCATCACAAAGAAAATATATGAAATAAAATGGAAAATTATCAAATGAAACGTAATATTTGAGAAATTTTTTTCTTATTTTTTAAATGAAAATGAGATTCATTGAAATCCTTTCTAAAAAAGCGTGTCTGTCATTCAATTTTTTTTTTTTTTTTGAATTGGTTCAAAATGGATTTTGCGCTTTGTATTTTAACACGAAAGGATTTAGTCATTTTAATGAATGTTTATACGAATGCATAAAAGAAAAGGTGTTCTACATTCATGATCAATGTAATAAATTATGTTCAAATATTTGTGTTATAATTACGTTTCTGATAATCGGCTGGCCACGACGTCGGCGAATTTTCCGGTGATTCGGCGAAATCAATATCCTGTAAATCTTGATTTTGAGCTGTATGGAAGTTGTTTCGATTGATTATCTGGAGAAAAAAAATTACGTGAAACAAAAATTGTTATGAATATTTCATAATTTTAACGCTCTTGCAAAGTTTTAAATTGACTAACACCATTTAGTTGAAGAGAACACATGTTTTTTATGGATGTCACAGATAAGTAGAAAATTCGTTAAAAATAATGAACGTAAACTACAATAATAAATAAATTTGAATGCATATGCCAATATTGCAATTTGCGTTGGAAAAAGGTATACGATGGTTTTCGTTTGTTATATGCAATATTTTGTTATGATTCATATCTTATGAAACACGGCTTATTGAATTTACGTTTGCTTTCATTCGGGATGATTTTTGTTTTATTGTCTCTTTATATCTTCGCTAGCTCACTTTATTACGAAGAGATTGTGAAATTGTAAGACACTTTTATTTTTTCCGTTGATGAAATTTCATCTTCGAAAAAAAAGAAGATATTTTTGATTCAAGTGACAGAAAAATGTGTTGATTTGTACAATTTTTATTAAAAAATTGTATTGTTTTGTATGTATGTATTTTCTTTTTCGCACATTTTGTTGTGTCTTAGTACTCAAAGTCTGGCTATTTAGTTCTCCTTTCATTGTGGTTCTTCGAATTCTTTTTTTCGAGCAGTGATTATGCATGCCGCGTTGAAAAACATGTAAAAAATGTCATAATGCGCTTATTAAACGTCTCGAAGTGACCGAAAGAAGAATGAAGCAAAGCGATGACGACGATCATATGTTAAATCGATCACTGTTTCGTTTGAATTGTTCAAAGTTCAATTGAATGTCCGAGAATGAAAGTGAGTCTTCTCCTCAGAACATAGAAATGTGTTAAAATCTTAAAGATTTTATTGAATTGTAGTACCAAAGCAAATTTTATTGAAATGAAACACGGCGTGTTTTTTCTCACCTTTTCTGAAGGTATCTTTGTTTCTCGACGTTTCCTATATTGTCATCTCATAAAAAGCGTAAAAATTAGTCTTTTTTTTAATCGTAACATCAAAACCAATTTTTTCTATTCATAACATCAAAATCTATTTTTTTTTATTCGTAACATCGTAAAAAAGCATTTTAAATTGAAACAAACGGCAAGAAAGTTTTCAAAATGTAATACCAAAACAAAATTTATTGAAGTGTAACACGCCGTGTTTCATTTCAATAAAATTTGCGTTGGTACTACAATTCAATAAAATCTTTAAGATTTGTTACACATTTCTATGTTCTGAGGAGAAGACTCACTTTCATTCTCGGACATTCAATTTATTGAAATTATTACTATCGTAACAGAAAGACGCGTGTGCATTTTTTTGCGGTCAAACAATATTTTCTACCGTCAAGGTAAGTTGTGGTGAACAACAAAAAAAACGTTCAAGTTGGCAATGCAATTATGATGCACGGGACTGTCAAAAAAAAAAAAAATACTAAAAAATACCGAATGAATCCTTCTCATTCAGTCTCTTGTTAATTTAATCACATTTCTTTCTTCTGCATCATTTTAACACTAAAAATCAATTTAATATAAAAACCGGTTGAATGAACCGAATGCAAAACCGAAGCAAATGCACAAAGAAGAAAATTGTGAGAATTGCAAATTTTCATACTCTTTATTTCGGTAGATGATTCGATAAAGCGATGGAATTCACAATATGATATTTGCAGTTGATTTAATCGGCAAAAGTCCAACGACACACCAATCTATAGATATTTCTTGTTTTGTATGATTTTTGAAGCAAATAATTTGTGCTTGCAAAAGAAAAATCCCAAAAAGTTACTAAATCGACAATGACATTTCCAGCGTATTTTTATTTTCATTTCACCATTTATGTTGTCATTCATTTTCGGACACATATATGTAACATCTGTAATTCATTTTATTGTTATTGTTTGACATTTCTTATATTCCATATTAGTAGTAGTAGTAACAGCGTAATGATAGTCAAACTTTGTGCTCCATTAATAAAAAAAACATAAAACTCAAGTGGAATATAACAATTCATGTAAACTTAATTTCACGATCATCGAATGTGTCTAATTAATTTATGCAGAAAACAACGACTTCGTCAAAGAATTTCGATAAAAAGTCATTGTTTTATCCCAATAAATTAACAATTTCACAAGTTTTTGTTTAGTAACATCAATTTTGATTTGTAGCTGGATTAATTTAAAAGCAAGGATGCAGACAAAAAACTGAAATTGATATGGAATCATATTGAGGATATGAATGGAATGGATTTTCATCTTTAAAATGGCCAATTATTGAAAAAAAAAATGAATTCCGTTAGTGATGATTACAATATAGTGATGCCCATAAAATGTTTAATTAGTTCCTACTAATCTGATGAGATATGATAACGTTAAATACTACTACGCCGCATGAAATGATTCGTATAGTTTTAGAAAAAAAGAATGTCACGAGATAATCAATTTTCAGAGAAAATCACTTCAGGTTATCTGGTTTGAAGATTTACTTTATTTAAGTTTGGTCACAACTCATCACAAGGCATGTATTTTCTTCAAATATCTGTGCGCTTACGACATAGCTTGGATTGAGACGATTCATTTACATTGGGTCATGCAATCATTAAAATGTATAAATTTCGAACTGTCTACTTTATTATCATAATATTTATAGTCGAGATCAAAGTGATTGGTCGGGTGTGCGTTTCACATTAAATGGTCAATCGACTTCTCTCGTTCATCATATTTTACGATGATTTTTTAATATGATTTCGAACGGAGGCATTTATAATTTTATGACGTTTATATTAGTGGAGATGCTAACCAAAAAAAAGGGGCCCCAATTCCGCGTAGAAATGATACACAGACATGCGTGTGCGTAACCATTTAAAGACTGTCTTACAAAAGAGATAAATATCGGCATATTTGGTTTGATGACATTGTAAAAAATAATCTTTTTCGCTTCAGTTTTACGATGCCCGTTTGATCCCCGGGTACGGCAATAGTGGCAAATGGACAACGCAGCCAACTTCATAGCATTGTAAAATGGCATACATTTGTACTAGCAGCAGTGCTAGTTTGACTGGAAACCGCTGTATAGCACTGCTGTCAAAGCCTTTTCCAAATACCGTGGTTTGGTTTGACCAAACACTTAACCAAGATTTATTAAAAGTTGATCCCGCTCTCGCGATTCACTTCGGCAAAGTGATTCTTTTACGGGCAACATCAATAAAAATGTTCGAAATCATAATTCTGACGAGGATTGTTTTCTTTTTGTTCAAATGGTGAACAAAAAAAAAGAAGTTGTAAAAAATGTCCAAAAATAATATCGAATGTGTGACATTGTAAAAGTTAGCGGTATTAAAAAAACAGAGACCAAACCATTTTTTTGGAATTTTAACACGATTATTAATTCAAGGATGCTTTCAACCAAATGACGATAAAAAAAAACAAAATGAAACCGTTTAATTTTCGAAAAAACAACTCACCTCATCCGAGTCAGTAGAAATGGTAAATTCCATCTGATCCGTGTATGAACCAAAGTAGTCAAAGCTCTGCAGTGTGCGCAGAGGATCAATCAGGCTATTAAAGTCCGGGCAGTATTGCTTTGCGACAGATATCGCCATTCGGAACAGACGAAAATAAAGATTAAAAATTTACGGTGGATTTTGGTATCGACTTGACGTCGATGCACTCTCAACAAACTGGACGGTTGTCGGAATGCTAGAGATTAGCGTATGCGTGTCACTCGCTCTGTTCTCAATAGCAAACTTGAATAATCCGGCCGTTTTGTGGTGATACCAAAATCGGTTTGTGCGTATTTGAAGAACCTCTTCACAACCAATAGAAAAGAGCAATGTTTTTCTCTTCACTGGATTTCTATCCCTGTTGGCTTTGGATTCGGGTAGGAAGGAATTTCCTCGTCGACTTTTTCAATTCAACTTTCACTTGCAATGAAAACAAGAAAGTTCCTTCTTCGATCAAAATCGCTTCTTTCTATCGAATAGTTTTGGATTTTATCTACTTTTCGCCGATTATTTGCGCTCTCGATTCGATCACACTATTTTTTTCACTTTCCACCGTGCTGTTTTGATCAAATATGAGCAAAGGTAATTACTTTTGAATTATCGTGCGCCTGGCGTAACTACACCCTCTGGCTGCAAATTGAAAAAAAAAAAAATGATAGACACACAAAAAAAAAACAATTGACAATTAGTATAGTTTTTTGATAGAGACAGTATTAGTAAAGCTTTGAAAGATTGTAACGATCAATTTAAAAGTGTGATTTGTGGAGATTTCATGCGTTCCAAACGATTCGAAAGTGGTTAATTTCACAACAAATGTTCTTGAACCCCAGTCTATCGCAATTAATCGCTTCCAATTTTGAGAGAATGGGTGACAAAATGCATTGCAGCGCCGTGATAGCAATCAAATTAAGATACACCATGCAGCCAAATGAATTTGTAATTTGTTCTTATTCTTAGAAGCTACACACTTTGATGTCACCCATATATGTAGGACTACTTTTGCATGCAAATAAATTAAAAGAAAGGGGTTTGGCATATCAATTGAAGAAACAAAACAATAATGACTGTGTACAGAATAAATTTGGTGCTGGTATGGATAGAGATGTGTGTTAAATGTCCTTAAAAATGTTAAATAGACCGGAATTTACGATTTTTAGACGTTTAGAGAGAGGCTAGACGCTAAGTCGATGGTGATGGCTATGAATGGGATCTATTTTGTTCATCCATGCACTCGGGTTTAAAGCGGTATACAAATGACTATCTATTATGAGGTGAAATGAACGAAAAAAAAGGTTTTTTTGCGTAAAATATGTCTTTACCCTGAATTATTTTGTGTTTATGTGCCTAATGAATTCGCTGTCGAATGGATTAGGGAATCCGTGTTGAATATGCAACAGGAAATTGTGTTCGTAGGCTGACAACAATGGGATTTCGAAAAGCAATGATTTTTTTGATCTTATTTTGATCACACTATGGGATTTTTGTTTGATGGAAGCTTTTTTACTCGAGATCCAGATAATTTACACCAATTTTTTTTATGTTTGTCACACTTTTGACCGATAAATTTACTTTGTTTGTCGTTATTTAAGTAGGGAAAAAAGCTCAATCGATTTCTTAGTTGGAAATTTACAAATTAACTTAATTTGAATGATTTGACACACTCAAGACGATAGTTTAAATAAAAATTAATGTCTTTTTTTTAAAGTAGAACCCAAATACCGCACAAATGTAGACAAAATGAGTATTTTATAAAACACAAAATGGGTGAGTAATAATCGTGATTTATACAAAAATTATAAAACACCAACCACCGTCGTTGTTAGAAGTTATTACAAAAACAAATAATTAAAAACAAAGTATTACATAGATTAGACGACACAACATTTAATTATAATTATGTTCACCAAGTAACAGAACAATTAAAATAAAATAAACTAGTTCAATTACTGATTTGAGCAACGACAAGTAACGTTAAAACAACAATAAAAAATTATATGAATAAATTGTCAATAATTGGCCACCAAATAGATAAAATTACGAAAATATGTTATGCGTTGTAAAGTGTATTTATAATTAAATTGTCAAAAATGGAAGAAAAATTACCCAAAAAGGCACTGTTCACACGTTTCTGTGTCTCTAATTTTCTCACAACATTAACCACAAAAATAACGAAAAAACAACTTTGGCGGAAACTATTGCTGGTAGATCCTTTGGTCGATAATTTTCGACGGTTGAAATTGATTTTTTTTTGGAAATTATGCCAAAAATGATGTTCTTTCCGTCTACCGCTTGTAGAATTGTATTTTTGATCCAGTGAGTCTACAAATTCGATGTTTATTCCAATTTGGTTTTTCGTCCCGGCTCTACGATATTGGCTACAATTCGTTCAAAATGGCTGGCTTTCTTGATGTTGGTGATATTCAAAATTGTGATTCTTCCGTTTTTGTTGATTCTTCTGACTGCACTTTGCTCTTGGTTATTTTGGTTGGTTGGAGAAAAAAATGTCGCCTCCTTATTGCATTTATTAAAAAAAAAATCGCGCGTAATTTTGTGTTATTTTTTTATGTTAAAATTTTTCTTCTTCTTCTTCTTGTTTTGTTTTCTGGATTTGTTCAATCGAACGAAACAAACGACTCCGTTACACACGTTTGTAGTGAATTTAAAAAACGGATTCGAGTTCCGGCAATAACAGGATTAATTAATTAAAACATGACGAAGAACGAATTGTATAATTTTTTGATGCCGGTGGTTTCGCGTTGACGATGACTTCTCAATAGGGTATTTTCAATTTTCAACAGCATTTTGTCTAACATATATACAATGAATTCAGATCCTTTAACCACTGTAGCCATATGTTCAATCGAATTTTTGCGAAGAGTGGAATTTTTAACAATCGACTCAAATACAACACCGAAAAATAAATGGTTAACGATTAAATGTTCTTGCTTGAGATGCTTTTCTCTTTCTTTCGTTTTTTATTCTCTCGCTTTTTGGTCTAAATAGTCTATGAATTGCACTTCAATGCTCTTTATGTTTTAAAGGATTTTCCAAACAAATGACTTCAATTTAAATAATTTGGCTGGTTGTGTGCGCATTAATCTTAACATTTAAAATGTCGTAATTTTTTTTCCAACACTTCAAATATTCAACTTTAGTGTGAATGTCGTCGTACTATCAATATCATTGAACTAGTTCTCTCTTCAATTGTTTTTCTTGTTGATTTTCACTGCACCGACTATCAATTCATACAAAACAGATTAAAGTGTAAACAATTGCACCACAGCAAATACAATGATCTTATCAATGATTGTTGATTTTATGAATTTCAATGAATGTTTTTTTTTCTCTCGATATCTTTGTCCAATCAATCTCTTCCGCTTATAATCATTTAATTTCAAAACTTTTCTGTGAAAATTCGATTTTTTTTTTTTTTTTTTTTTTTTCAATTTCAAGCACACTATGTTTACACACTTCTTTTTTTTAAACTCTGGTATTTATCGTTTTAAAACGATTCTTCGAAAAACTGTTCGAATTAAAAAGTCGCGCGCTCTTCTTTCAATGCTCTTTCTCACACTTTTTTCAATATTGTACACAACTTCACGCGTGAACGTCATACACACATGCGCGTATTAGTTGATAAAGTTCATTGAAATTGCGGTTGACAGTATTACTGGCTGCTACAAGCAAAATTCTCACTTGAACAGTTGTTGTTCTTCTCTATTTTCTCCTCTTTTTTTCGCGTACACAAAATCTTCAGTTTTTTGCGTGAAGTTTGGTTGTTGCCAATTGCAAACAAAATTTTCTACGGCTGTAAAGCGTGTGAAACGCACAAATTTTTTTCTCTCAAAATTTTGCTCTCCTACAGTTCTCCTTCACACACACATGCACACGCACAAAGAACTTCGATTAGATCGACAGTTTTATATTTATAATCACGAATAAAAAGTCGCACAATATTTCTCTTAAGGATTTCGGATTATCATTTATCTTCACTCAATTTTGTTGTTCTAGCTCGGTTTGTTTGTTTGTTTGGTGGTCGATTTTCTCTTTCTCTATTCGCTTGATTTTAGTTTAATTCGCACAAGCGTGCCGTCAAATGGATACTACGGAGGAAGCCATGATTTAGTGATTGCTCATAAATAAACATATCAAACATTCAATAAACGTTCACGGCAACGCAATCACAACACACAAAAAAAACGAACGATAATAACAATAAATTGTTTTAAAATGCGTTTGTAATCAAGCGGTGTGCGTTTTGAAATGAAAACAAATGTATGTTTAGCGCTCTTGCCGATATTCTTTCCTTGTCTTCAAACTGTCGTTTGGCCCAAAGCTACAGCAACATTAAAAAATAGTTGTCGTTTGATGATGATGAAAACTAATCGTGCGTAAATATTCCAAAGTTTTGTTTTCCCCCTTTTTTGTGTATTGGGTAACGGGTGTTTACGCTCGCTGAGTGATAACAGGAGAAGAAATTCACGTATTTATTACAAAAATTACATTCTCTGGCAGCAGAGAATTATGGCTCCGTAATGAAAATTAAAGATACATCAAATTTTCGATGAAAAATGCGCGATTTCAATTTCGAATATTTTATGTATTGAAATGTTGTACACCGATGTGTGGTGATGTTCACTCTATCTCGTTTGACTGACGGTTATACTGACAGAAAAACTTGCGTTTTAAAAACTTTGATTATGCGTCGCTAATTGTTAAAAACGAAATGGTAAATTTTCAATCAGATTTTCGATGTTATTTCGATGAGAAAATTTGTTTTCCAGAAAGAACAGAATGAATGAATAAAAAACCACTGAGATTTATAGTGTTTTGAAAAAGCACGTCGTATACTGACAAAGCCTGAATAAAAACTGATGGCCGATGTGCGACCACCAGACGGCGGCAGAGAGAATTGACAAATACACATAGCATACATAGAGAGAGAACACAAGAAGCAGAAGTTTGTGAACACACATACATTCACTCTATTTGTTCGCAAAAAAGATATTATACGCGATTGTTATTTAGCGCTGAAAAGGAAACAACTGCTATTTCAGGTCAGCCGCCAATATTGTTTTTCGGTTGTATTGGTGGCCACATTCATATTTTGTTGTTGTTGTTGTTGCGAACGCAAATGTGTGTATGCTTGTGTTTGTTTGTTGCTTCAATGAGAACGCTCGACGCTTATGTCATACGGTAAAGCGTTCGACAGCCTACAAACGATTGTATAATGGTATGCGTACACATATTTACTCTCTAAATACGAACGTACTGTCACATTTTGAAAAACGCCAAATTATATATTCACGAATTACACGATGAAACACATGTGTATGCCGTACCGTTTCATCTAAATCATCAATTTAATTTCATTATTTTTATTCTCTTCGCAAAAGTCGTAAGCGCGCATTTATTATTTTGTTCGTTTTTATTTCCTTCCCGCTTTGCGTGCCACACTTGAATATGATGTTCTCTCTCTCGCTCTTTTTTATTGACACTTTTCTATGTGCTGTCATTTTCGATTAGTGGCTTCGTTAGAGAAGTCATATGTTTTGACATCGATTCATGCACGTCATCGACGGTTGTTCGAGACGAGCATTGTTACAAGCTGATTTTCAAGTTACACAGAAACAAAAAATCAACGACACACCGATATTGGATGCAATTATGTGTATGATTTTGTTTTTCATTCTGAACAAAACAACTTCAAAAAAAAAAAAATACTTGGCAAATGGAGAAAAAAGAAGACAATTTCAATGGTTTCGCTTCGTTTTCTTATTTTTAAAAGTGTACAGAGAATTAAAAACGAAATATTAACTACGCCAACGCCATGGGATCTCTCGCTCTTCTTCTCCCTTGCTCCGCCCGTTTTCTTGAAAGCAAATGGCCATATTTATCGTTTTGACGTGCATTTCGAAATACGTAAATTCGAAAAATTGCAATCGCACGTCAAATTTTGTATAATCCACACCAAAGTTTCTGACACAACATATGTGCGTTCGAATCAAAATGATATAGACTCTTTCCATTCGTAGGCCGATCTCTTCATTTGAAGAAACAATTTTTGATATACTTAATGACATGAAAATGGTTCATTGATTTAATCAAATGTTTTTCTCTATTAATACAATCCTTTTTATGAAGCTTATTCGTATTAAAAAATAGTTGATCGCAAACAAAATATTCTTTTCTTCTTTGTACAGATAGAATTTTGCATACCCTCTCCTCGCCGCTTATCTCCTTTTATTCAACATAATAATTCAATCAGTTTTGCAACGCAAATTTGTATTGATTTCATATGGCTTTGTGTGGCCGGCTTGAATTTCGTGGTTGTCTTAAAAACTGCCAGATGATTGATTGACCGCCGTCGTACATAGTCATATGTCCCGCTAGTGTCTACCTGTATTCAATAACGCGATGAATGTCTGATGCGAATAGCAACGAGCAAGGTGAAATCGAAAAGAATAAGTAAGGCCGCAAATGATGAAATAAAGAGTAGAAAAAACATATTGAAAAAGCGCACGTGTTCTGTGCAATCGATTAAAAATATGGATGAAGACATTGAAAAATGAGAGAGAGAGAGAGAGAGAGACATCTAGAAGGGTGAAAGGCTTGAAAGACGGATTGGCCCTAAATATAGATATAAACGACATTTATCCACTTTCATCTGGGACAAACATCGATCGCTCGAAATGTTTTGACATGATACATCGCACGCCAGAGACTGTTTATCAGAGAAATATGTGTGAGCAGGAGTGGTCTGAGGAGCTGCGAGAAGCACATTAGTGAGCAAATAATAAGCTCCTCCAGCTCCTTCTCACATTTCTTGCTCTGAGAAACAGTCTCTTTTTATTCATTTTTCAAACAGATGACGTTTGAAAACTGTTACTTCTACCTAATTTAAGAAAATATGGAATTGAATGTTCTGAACGCCAATCAATTTGAGATGAGCATCTGTGCGCATTCTTTTCACTGCTATTTTCTTGAGAATCATCAAACACACACACACACACACTTAACAATCTAATTGATTCAATTGAAACTATACTCTCTCATAAATATTTCAACCAATTTAAATTCATCAACACTTTATTTTGTCTCAAAGTCATCGCATTTAACTGATTTGCCCGAAATCATTGTCTTTCTGTGAAACATTATGCGCAAAACATTACAACAATAATATTTGATGCGCACAAAAACTCACGACAATTTTAACTGGAATGATAGTTTAAGCGCGGGCGCTTCAACTCAAACAAATCAATGAATTTATTGGACGATCTCTCTATATTTTTTTAAAATTTACGAGCTCCTTAAGTTTGAACCCAAATTAAACATCATATTATTGATGTCGCATACTTTGAGACCATTTTTTGCCCATTGCCAAATTGAATAGGGCCAATGTGCCCACTGCAAAAGAATATCCATATGCCTTCTTATGGACGTCATCAGAACAACAACAATAAAGATTTACCAAGCCATGGCTCAAATCAATGGAATTCGTAGTTTCAGCTTCTGTTGTTGTTTGTTATTATTATTATTGTTCTTTTTAATTTGGTCCAAGAGCAGGTCTTTTAAATACAGACATCGCTTTTGAGCAAAAACCGCAGCCATAAAAAAATGATGAACACAACTTTTTAATATCATGTATTTTTAACACAATATTATTTTCAACGCTTAACTTTCAACAACAGCATTCGGTCGGTTAAACACACGTGTAAGTTGCAAAATTTCACCAAAATTGGAGCGACTGGTTTCAGTTGGATTTTTTAAATACAACCGATCGGGTAATTTCCTATCGTGCCAACAACGAATAAATTCAACGGAGAATATCTATAAAAACGCCTTTTTGAAGGAAATTAAGTGAAATCTCTGTTTTTTTATTGAGAAAAATTAATTGGTGTATTGACATCGAAATTTGTCAATTTCGCCAATACGTTCATCGCTTCAGAATACATTATTTCGTGATCGCAAGCGTCCACATAATATAAATCATAATGCTTGCAAATAATAAAAAGTAATAAATGATTTTTCAACTGCTCAATATTGGAGAGTAAGTGAAAAAGGAAACCTTCATTACCCGATCGGTTGCTATTCTTTAAATTTCATTCATTGTTCGTTTGTATTGCAGTTAAATGTTCAATTAAATTGCGAATAAACACGAAAACTTTGTTAGTTGACACACGAAATATCTTTTTTTATTGTCGTCATGTATTTGTAATACAACGAGAATCCAATTCGATCATATAGTAATGGTTGACTTGGAAACAGTCGCAAATGTATACATAATTATAGTTAAAGTTTTTTAAAAGCGCGCACATCGATCATAAAAATCTAACGGAATCTCTTGAAATGCTTTCATCGGTTTTTTTTTCCAAATGCTTTAAAATCGATGCGAGACCAAAACAAATTAACGTCCAAAGATCGACAGCTGAAACTACGACGATAAGAAAAAAGCATACAGCATTTTATGAAAACAAAAAGCCAATGTGACGAAAAACAAGCGAAAAAAAAAACAAAACAAATGAACAACAACCATAAACGGCATCATAACGATAGCTGAATAGATCAAGCTCAAAGACATTTTCATCAATTTTGTCACATACAACTTCCCAGCGCTAACGCTCGTATTATATTCGTTTTATTGGACACAGTGGCTCCCTTCTAAATCATCATATTATTAATTTAGATAATTGATGTTTATATGCCTAAAATTGTAAGTCTGTTTCCTTTTAACATTTATGCTTGAACCGCATCAAATCCTTCGGTCGCAGATAGAAAGAGCACTACAGTACGAAGAAATGAATTCGATCTTGACCGAAATAAGTCACAATCGTACAATTTAAAAGCCAAATCAACGAAATTTATGAGCAAGAGAGAGAAAGAGATAGAAAACAAAAATATTCAATTGGCCCTACTCTCTACTTTCAGCTACTCGGGAGCTGAAAATTTCCACTGGTCATATTGATGATGATTATATTGTGATCGCACTTTGATACAACCAATCAGCACTTACATTATATAGTTATTTCCACATTATAATTGTGGGATCAATAAAATGAGTGAGCCCGCGCGTGTTCTGAAATGTAATGAATAACAATTCCATGTGACCAATCAACGTTTAATTGGTTCTTAAAAATGGAGTATACAATTTGAGGCACACACATTTATTCCCTTAAAAAAACACATTTCTATCATGCGAGCATACTTCTTTTCCACTGTGTTCATCGTCAACACTTGACCGCCTCGCGATGAGAGAAAAAAACGTACGAAGATCTTCACGTGGTCAAACTATTTCCTTATTAACCAAAATTGGTAAAGAGCTCAAATCATATACGGAATGTAGCAATAGTGGCAATGATTTTATCAAATTTATCAAAAGTGTGTAACGAGAGAGAATTCATTTATGAGCCCTCATTCTCAGGCATCCGATTATTTCGACAAAAATCCAGTTCGAGTCGGTGGCTGAGAATCTGTGCAACACAGGAACATTTTTCATATTATTTTTTTGCACTTACCACTTATTCATCGTACCTACATTGTTAATATTCCCATTAACGTAGAGCATCAAGTGACAGTGAATTTATCATTCGAGTTGGTCTTTAAAATTTAGAATGAAAATCTTAAAATCATTTAAAGTTAAACAAAAATGAAATACAAATAATGACAATGTATAAATCGAATTTCTTATTTATTCAATCAAAATCTAAATTCATCATTTTCGTATGCTATTCTATTTTTATCCCATTTTTGCTATCAATAATTTGTTGGAATTCACCATTTGGATCGTATTTAGCGATGAGTGATTTATATTCTGCTGGCCGTTTTTCTCTCAAAATATTTACCGTTTTTGTCGTGGTTGAAATTTGCGTTTTTGTACATTGTTTGCACCCAGTTTTGATGGCATTGATCAGCTTTTCTGCAAAGAGAAAAACAGAAAAACGTTTTATTACATCATTTTTCTGCATTTTTATATTTAAATCTATTCCAATTGAAAACATTGTCAATTTCAGATCACAAGATATATTTGTCAGCTATGAACTGAAATTGACATAAAAGAAAATCGGTGGCTGCAAAACATTTCACATTATTATAATGTTATGAAATGTGTTTAGCAAAAAATAAACTTTTTGATGATTATGAACCTTCTGCCCCAATGAATTGAAATAAAAGAACTTACCTTTGACTAACGAGGCAGCTTTGCTACATTCACCTCTGTCCAACAAACAATTCAGATAGGGGTCCATGGGACTAGCTTTTGGTTTGATAGAATTTTGTTCGCTAATGCAAACGATGGCTACCAAAATCAGAAAGATTATCGCGATTCTTGATTTCATTTTATCGTTTTAAGAGTTCGGTTTTTAAAAATGATTGTTGATCAGTTGATATCTGAGGAAAAAACCAAATGAAATTGTTAACACAAATGAGAGCAATTTCAAATTGTGAATTCCGTATTCCAACTAGAGTTATGTTAAATGCACTAAATATGCTCTGAAGTTTGAATAAAAGTTTCAGATATCACCTATACAGATCGACATAAAGTGCCGACAAAATTGCTGTATACTCATGATTTTGCTACATAATTTTTTTCTAAAATTTATTGTTTCAATTAAGTGTAGAGAATGTGTAGGTTAGGTTACAACATTTTGTTTCGAAGTGTACCTGAAATTTTTTTTCAAAAAATCGACCTCTTTTTTTTGGGGTCCTCATAATTTTGCCCGTGGTAGCGATTTTCTAAATCCAAAATTTTATGTAATGTATTATGGTCTTAAAAAAGTGTACATTAAGTGTAGGTAACAATTTTGCATTCATATAGGGGAATTGCGCTAGCAGTGGGACTAGTCCAGCAAGTGGGACAGTGAAATATTTCTGATTTTTCTACTAATGATGTCAATGTGTTCACGTTGATAATTTAATATTAATGCACAATCACTTTCTATATGGTTCTTAGCGCGATCACACACGTTCATTATACAATGCCAAACACCTCCCAAAATAAATTTTAAAAAAAAATTTCCGAGGTTTTCGGGAGGGCCCATTAAATGAACATTTTTCACCGATTCGAAAAGGAATTATATGCATTTTGTTTAATTTTCAAGCGTTCTTTAATGGTGGCAAGGTGATTTACGAAAATATTGAGTGTGTATACATTTTTCGTTGGTTGGTCCAAATGAAGCATTTTCCACCAGTGGGACACTTGGTTTGTCCAGCAGTGGGACATATCCACTAGAAGTCATCTCAGTGTATCACATGTGTTTTCATAAAAATATTGATGGAAATTTGTCTGCAGTATGTAAATGCTTTGACTCGAATGCGTTTTATATCATCGGTGTACGCTTTTTGCGTGAATTTTGACTCGATTCCAAGTGAGCAAAAATTGTGAGTCCGAATACACCGATGAAGCGAAAGAATTAAGTGATGATATCGAATAGTTTTTGTCATATGATAAATTTTTTCATATGAATTGACTCAATAAATACACTGTGCGACACTCAAAATGTGACAGAAACGAGACTCACCGTTTTTACATAATTTGGGTATGCTGATTTCAATGGCATCATCCATTTTCCTGTATCACGTCAGGATTTTCCACAATTTTCCTAGAGAGTTTTCCGGAAAACCAAAATTGGCTGTTTATACTCAAGTAACATTTTGAATTCATGCAATATCCCAGAGTGGTGACCTATCAGGCGTTGTAGTACGGTTCAAGTATAGTCAAGGCACACAATTCGTTTTGAAAAAAAATTGGGTCATTTGAAAAAAAAAATTGATTTGGTTATTCCCCTCTGAAGTCACATTTTGAAGTAAAAATGGTGTCCATTCAAACTCTCTGAAAATGAGTATGTGGGGGTTTTTTGGCATGAAAAGACCGAATATGACGCTGTTTTTGCTATAAAATTGGGTTTGAATACACTTACCGCACAGTGATATTATATAAACATTCATAATTTGAGGTTTTTTGCTTATTTTTTCTACTTTTCCAGCAATTTCCATTGGGTTTTACCTAGTGTCCCACTGGTGGCTAAAAAATTTTTTTGGCAAATAATCATCTCTTCAGAAAATTGTCAAGAATTTTTTTGTTTGAAACGGAATCATATAAGTTTCTCTTGGCAAAAATGTAGCAACAGACAACACCATTAAGATGGTATATACAACTTCTCAATATATTAAGGGTTCATTTTTTTCTCGAAAAAACAAAACATGTCCCACTGCTAGCGCAATTCCCCTACGATATTACTAAGAAATTAAGTGTTTTATCTGAAGGGCGAGGGGTGCCTATATTGAAAATTTCAAATTAAGTGTAGCATGATTTTATGAAAGTGTACAACCTTAAAAATAATTGTAGATTAAGTGTACATCAGTATTATGTCTTTAAATGGTCTCTCACTGGGGCCACCAAGGGAAGCTTACACTGTAGTATATTATTTTTAAACCGATGCATTTTCGCAAAGGTGGGTTGCACTGCCCTCCAAAGCCCATAAGGACAACCGTTAATTTCACAAACTTATTTTTTCGGCACTTTATGTCGATCTGTATAAGTGACATCTAAAACTTTTATTCACACTTCGATATGTTTACTGGTCATTATATCACAATTATCACCGAAATATTTATCAAATAATTGTATTTTCACAAATGACATTCACGAAAGAAACACAAGATAAAATAATGTTAATGCATTAAGACTTCCGAATTTTAGATATGAATTTACACGTAAAAATCTCTTTTATAAACGAATTCAATTTTATAATCTCAATCGTTAAATATTGCAAGCTCAATCATTAAATATTTTTAAAAATAAATGCAAAAAATATATGCTAGAAAATTGTAACACATAATGTAAACACACCAAACTATATAATATAATAAATAAAATCTTACCTTTGCTAAAAATGTGATGTTAACACAAGCACTGCAGCTCAGAAACTAAAGTTAAATGCAACCAAAACATATTTACCCAGTACAAATTTGTATATTTTTCGGAGAACGCATTGGAAGGAGACGGATTTTATTGCAATAGAAAATATGGCATAAAGAGACGCCAACGACATTGAGATAAGGAAAAGATCATAAAATCATATCGGCTTATGTTTTTGTTTTGAATTTTAAACCTCAATGTATGTACAGACAGTACAAACAGTTTTTACCTGAGAACAAACGTCCTATGCTTCTTTGAATTTTTCTATTCACTGCACACAGAAATTGATATTTTACCCGTGTAATGTATGAGTCGTTTGTGTTGAATGTCAATTTGGTTCTTCAAAAAAAAAATTCAATTTATATTTCTGTCGGCCAGTATGTCGGAGAAATGTTTTAAAAAAGTGGAAATAACATTTATGAGAAATGACATTTTTCTATTAGGAAATAAAGTGAAATGTTTTAGTTGAGAATAATTACACAATGAAAAGATAAAAAAAAAACACAAATTGAAATAAGTCGATGAGTATAACACTCATAAAAAACACAAATCGTTGATGTTTGATATGTGTTCGACAATTATTAACAGCACGATAAACTAAAGGGAAAGATGATTGAGTTAATTGGGGAGTGAGATAATACTGGAAGGACTTGGAGGGCAGGGGTCTGGAACAGGGAACTGAACTATTCTCAATATTGATTCAGGACTTGAAGACATTGAATCTCAAACCTTAACTTTTTCATGAAAATTTTGAATTTTAGGTGTTTTTTTATTTTCAATGTCTCATAAAATAATATTTTGTATTATTATTCGCTGTAATTTGACTAGCCAGAAAACAAATTTGTAATGTTTTTTAGTACATTCTAACGTTGAAAAATGTAACGTTTTGTCCCATTCTGGTGGTCATTTTCGTGTCAAATGGAACGGAGATTATATGCATAGTTCCCACGAATTCCAATGGAATGGATCCACTTGTTTCTTTCACTTCCAATAATATTTCATTTGACAACATAATGTGAACACAACCCAATACATTAAGTTTTAAATTGAAAATCTAAATCTTACGCTCGAATAAAAAAATAAACAATTTGTTAGGAAAGAGATTTGCATAATTTAATTTAAAACTCTGCAGAAGAACTATTTTTTTATACGTCATTTATTGCATTTAATTTTCTTTATTTGTGGAATTAGTATTTTCAATGTTCGAGATGCAACTAACATCTTTCTGACATTTTTCGATTAGCACGGTGTATATGTGTCAAACCAAATCCAACAATATTCATTTATATTAAAAATGTGCTCGCATCGTGTGACAGTATTGTTAGTATAAACAACTTCCATCAGTTTGAAACCACAATCGCACCAACCGATTTTGTTTTGTTTTTAAGAGGATTTCTTGAGAATTAGATGTGAGTGTTTGTAGCGTGGTTTGGGCGATCAATTGATTTTATTGTCATTTCAATTTCAACGATTTTGTGTGTTCGGAACGCTGTTCGCTGAGGAATGGATATATTCACAGTTGGTTTTGTGTTCATTTTTGTTTTAATTTCGAAATAACAGAGTGTTGATAAAATTTATTGTGAATATTCCAACAACATTTCGATCGGGAAAATATTTCATGTCACATTGGAAATAAATTTCATCATTCGATTTAGAATACCGAGTCACTTTGTTGAGGTAAGACGTGATATTTATAATGCGTTCTTCATTACTGTTTCATTTGATTTGTGATAGAAGTGTTTCTATCTTATTGGGTTTGTGATCTATGCTATATTTGGTGCATTTTTTTCTAAATTTGTGTGTATTTTTTCATTTTCGTTTTATTGTATCAGTTCTTCGAAAATGAAAAGAAAAAGAGATAACAACGATTCGCCGGTATACGATGACGAAAGAGAAGAAGAAAATAATTTCGTTGCAATAAAATGTGGATTGCAAACAATACTTCGACCCGAGCATGCAGCAGTTGTGACGCAAATATTGTTTGAGCGCAGTCTTCAAATGACGGAAGTTGCCTCATTGGCCTCACTTTTGATTTTATTCAAGGTGAATGAAGCACTCGATAATGAAGATCGTCAATTCTTTTTGCGACGGGATCGTCGACACTTCTTCTTCGATTGCTTCAATGCGGTATTGGCCAGAAATTGTTTACAATAATAATAGCCGAAATCCCATACCGCCAGAGTTTCGGTTCATGGTCGAAAACTTCAGTGATGAACAGTTCGAATGGCCAAGCAAGGAAAAGTTGGAGAATGGTTTTCGTTATTTTGTCAAACAGCACATCGCAAATACGAAAACTGGTCTCACCACTTGGTGTGAAGATCGACTTGAGTCATTCTTTCGAATGCGATGCTGGTATTACAATCACAACACCAATGGTCCGAGATTTGATGGCATCGACATCAGAAATGCCAAAATGTTAGCATATCGATCCAACGACTTGACGAATGGTAATGTGGAAAGAATAGAAAAGTCCAACATTTTATTAGATGATCTGGTCGCAATTGGATGGCACTGAACACTGATACCAACCGGCTGAATAAATACCCCGAAGAATACTACAGAGATCGAGATGGACTATGGAATTTGTTGTTCGACGTCGATAAAATCAAGCAATTGGGCAAACGATCCAAACAATTCCATCATCAAATCGTGACCAATAGTGTTTCCGTATCGGCACTGTACACCAAACTAGAGCAGGCGTGCAACGAAAATGTGCATTTACAGGCGGACAATCTTGTGGGCAAGAAATACGTTATTGGCATCGATCCGAATGAAAAAACGTGGTTGGCTATAACGCGTCGCAACATCCGAAAAACACCTGATGAACCGGCCGTTGAGGTGAGATATTTTGAAATCTAACTTGAAATGTGTTTTAATCGAAACTAATTGTTTTTATGATTTTGAAGGAAAACATCACAATACCAAACACGCGATTCTACTGGGAAACTCGGCAGAAACAAAGAGAAAAAGAAGCGAAAAAAATTGGCTGGGTGGTTTGATATCGAGGAAAAGAATCATCTGAAGACATACCCATTAGGTCCACCATCACCGCGTAATTCAACATGGAATGGTACATTGAGTATCGTATCAAAATGCTACGAAAAGGAATGTCAGCATATGCTACGCGCAAATATTCACGACTGGATTTTGATTATTACATGAAGTCGAACCAAGTAAATGATAACATCGCCGTGACAGTGACCAACAACGAGCCGTCAATAATTGTATTTGGTGCATCGGAGATGCCACCCAATCGGCCATTTGGTTTGAAGAGACGGAAAAGATGTCCAGGATCTCGGAAATTTTTGGTGAGCGTCAAGAAACTTGGCCATTCAGTGGTGAAAATGGAAGATGAATGGGGAACATCACAAACATGCGCGAATTGCCAAGAACGATTTCCAGCGAACACAAAACCGCATCGATTCAAAGTGTGCTACGGTTGCAAAGCGAAACCGATTGCTGGACTACCGGACTCAGTCGCTAGTCTACCAGATATAATTGTGGCAACGGTTAGCAAACGTGCTTTGCAAAAGGGACGAAAGGAAATTAAGCGTCGAATTCGCAATGGCAATTATCAGGATGTGGACGAAATAATTCGGAATGGGCGTTTAATGTCAAAGGTTAAAGTTACCTACAAAAATTGGCCATTAAATGTTCAGGGTGATGTTGCTGCTCCACAGACAGTTGTTTGGCACCGCGATATTGTTGCTGCAAAATGCATTATGCTCAAAGGTATGAATCAATAGAAAATAGAGTCTATTCATTTTTTAATGTTTTTGCTTCAAATTACACAGGACTTTGTCGGATGTTTGGCGTACTAGTGCCTGATTCGTTGAGAAGACCACCAAACAATGTCAACTGACAGCAGCACTGAATCCATAAATTTGTGTTACACAAAGCTAGGGAAGGAGCCCGTAGGTGAGTAAAGTTTTTAATTTAAAAAAATGATATTTCATATACAATTCAATTGATACTAATGGTTGTCGTTTCTCTTTTCCATGTATTCACACCTGAATGTTACGCTATGGCAACCGTAAAAATAACTGAAACTACACACAAATTCGGGTCCAAATTTTACCGTGAATTTGTGCCTGGTAATGGGTGAATTTGTATTACAAATTGTTCATTGGGCTATAGCCAGATCAAATCAATTTGTCCAAACAATGCCGAATCTACACAATTCAAATCATTTGTAAAAATAATAATATTCGTAATCTTCGGTGTTGGAATAATTTTTTTATTAAATAAAACGTTTATTCTCTATAGTACAATTTGTAAGTATTTAATTTTTATTTTTCTTAAATAACAAATGCATCTAAGCGGCTACAATTGAATTGAATTAAGTGTTTTTACTTCGATAAGACGAGGATTTGTTTTGTTGTTTTTTTTTTTGTTTGTTTGGATAAGAGAGAAATAAATCTATTGGTGCTAAATGCTATTTAATACGTGTGTATTGTATAATGTCTAAGATGTGTTTGAAAGCAAGCACATAAAGAAAAAAAACAATTTCCAACTTTTGCTAACGAAGAAATTTGCATTCGCCCCGGTATCTAAACACTGTACATTTTACTTTATATCATTGGTGCTTGTGTCCTGAAGCACTATTTCTGCGGTGACAATTTTTTTTAACAACAAATTGGAAAAATTCAATACAAAAAACTTGTGTATGCAATGAAAAAAATCGGTCGAACAAAATGAAAATGTGCTAATTACTATAAAATGCACTAATGGTAAGCGATTTTTGTTTTATAAATTTAATTATGCTATTTTTTTCTCTCATTAAATATGTTATTGCTGCACGATGCGCGCGAAATACACACACACACACACACACCTGAAATGCTCATAATTTCTCTCGCTCCTTTACACACATACATACAAATTGGAGACGATTTTAAATTTGGTTCGAAAATGAATAAAATGTGAAGAGGAAACGAATGGAATAACGGAATACAGCGCGCTAATTTTACAATGTACAGTATTCGGTGAGAATTGGAATTGTTTTTAGTAATTCATCAATGTTGTGTTGATTGAGGTGTTCGATAAGTGTATCGGATGTGCGTAACGGTGCCATTAGCGTTTGTACATTTTCAACAATTTCTTTAGTCATTGCGTCAGCGTTGCGCTGAATAAAATCGGCCAATTTGCCGCCTAAATCACAATCGATTAAAATTTTTGCTAAATTAACATCGTTGTCAGCAATGGATGCCGGCGATGCACGCGGTATGAACAATGAAGACATTATACATAAGGCAATCAATGCTTCATTTTGCATGACCATATGCTGTGACGATAGCATCGTCACCATACATTGTACCGAACCCGCAATTTTGATGAACGCTTTCAGACTAGAACGATTTGATGCCGCCGATTCGGCTGCTGTGGTTGTGGCTGGCGATGGTGATGTTGTCGCTATATTGCTGGCCGTATCTTTGTACGCATGCTTTATCAGCCATGCCATCAAACGGAACGATTCACCTGTTACACTGGAACAATCGGACGACTGACACCATTCAATCAATTGCTGTATCAATGTGGTATTTTCAAGTAGTTGATGTGCCAACGATGGCTGACCGTCGATTAGCATACGTAATGTGCCAAGCAATTTGTACACAACGGGCGCCTGATGAATTTTCAACATTGGCAATATTGTTTCGACCAAACCGGCCTTGATAATCACCGATTTATTCTCTTTCGGTATGACCAAATTTCGAAGTGCACTCAACAATGCATGCTGCAATTTCATCTCATTATCGATACCATTATTTTTTGACAGAATTGCTGTTTCCAAAAAATAAAAGTAAACTGATTAATATACACAATTTTGAAATTGAACATTCTGTGTGGCAGTACACTTACTTAGTAATTTTGTGGTGATATTCCGATTGACCATTTCAATGCAATGACTATCGGTGCGCGCAAAATTACCCAACGCCAATACGCCAGTTGTTAATAGATCAATGTCATAAGAATTATCCAGCCAGTCTTCCATATATTTTAACAGCGATGTATTGTAGAGGTAGTGCATTGATTCATCTATTTAAAGCGAATAATTTTTAATATCGAGTTTCGATTAACATTTTTGTACGGCTAATTTGATTCTTACCTCCCGTCAGGATTAAAACGATTAAATCACATGCAAGTTTCATAAGAGCTCTCGCTTCATTGGTATTTGCTAATGTTTTGTATGTTTCGAGTAAACGATAAATCGTTTCGCAAACACCATCCTTGGCCAATTGTAGTTTAACGTCATCTGAAAATGTATGCCGAATGTTCGATTTGATTTGAAATCATCAAAAATATTCTGAATCAGAGCTGTTATTGGCATCAGAGAAGTACGCGCCCCGAACACCTGTTAACAAAGAGCAGCACTTACAAGAAAAGTATCCGCACCTCCGTGATGCCTAGAACAGCTCGATTTTCAAAAAACAAAAAAAAAACGTGAAATCGACTCCTTACCATTTTCCGCTTGATAGTTAAGCATTTCGAGACAAATTTCGGCCACATCTGGATCCTTTGAAATGGTTAAAATTTTGGCCAATTGTCCGTTGAGTTTGTGTGAAAAATTCAAATCGGCCACATTTTCGGTGAGTAAACTAAGCGGTTGTAGTGTATTCAATAGAATCTCTTCGCTGTGATTTGTATCGACGCGTTCAATGCAATCGTCCAAAATGTTTTCGATTTTCCGTAAAATGTCCAGTTCCATGGCATTTTTCGCCAAATGTTCACCGCCAAGCAAATAATTCGATATCAAACCACCACGAAATTTGGCAAATGTCACCTCCAATTCATTGTTGGCATCCAGTTTGAGATCGAGTAAATTGATGATAACAGCAGCACCATTTAATTTTAAAATAATATTACGTGCATCTTCATTGTTATAACAAATATTGCCGAGTGCACGACAACATTGAATGGCAATCATAAATTGTGTATCACTTAACGATTGCTTTGTTTGTTCGGTCGATGTATTTTGTTTTGTCTCCGTTGCCAAACGATTCAATACATTTTCGATAATTGAATTCGTTGTGAATCGCTTTCGTTGGCCATCAATTTTTGTTATTTCAGCAATTGTACGATCGATTTGTTCACGTACATCCGCATCTAAATCGTTGCGTTTCAATAATACCAAAAATGTGTCTGTTAAATTGATTGCGTCATATGTGGTTGCATTTGTTTCAGCCGCTTGCACAATTTTCTTCAGGCATTCAATTAATTCAACACTATTCGTACATTGTATTGATATGGTTTTGAATGATTCCACCAATTCGTCCACTTCGCCTGTTGTCATTGAAAATAAAAAGAGGAACATCATACATTTTAATTAAAGAAAGAAAAAAAACGGCAAGCAAAAGGAAGAATTGCGGCATCCAAAGCGTTTCGAAAACTGGGTTATCGATTTTTTTTTTCGTTTGAATTGATAGAAATTGGCCCAACAGGCACAACACTGACAAACGCACTCTGGATGCAATTAATAAATAAACAAAACACACACGCACATACTCGTTTGCTCTATGTCGCACGCACACTCAAATACATATATGTAATCAACGACATTCATTGCATAGGTGGGACATGTACACAAAAAAAACCATGAATTACTTATTCATATTTTCACTCTCGTTTCGCTCGAAGCCCAAACATAGCAAATTGAAAACACTTAATGCATCAATTCAAGCGAGGGAAACAGACGAAGAGCCATTTTCACGAGGGAAAAAAACGCTTGTATCTCACATTTGGATTGATGTTTGAAATGTCATCATGACATCGATTATGGTAAACAAACAGAAATGCAAATGAATGAATTCGTTGTTTGCAATGTAAATCATAATCAAATATAAACATGCACACACACACACTTTTGCCGTGAAATCAGTTCGATTACACATATATCATACCTTCTGCCATTGTTTTGATATTGCACACTCTCAATTGTGCTCAAAAAATTTGTCTGTCGTAAATCGAATTCAACCGAGAAACAAACCGAATTATGCACACACACACACGATAGTCTGTTGTTAAATGAGTTTGTCAGAGCCGATGGACTTTTAATGTAAATTTAAATACACAAGAGCACAAGTATGAGCAAGTCGATTCAATTCAGCGATGTTGATGATGTATTGCCGATGCGAGCATTTTATTTTATCCCTTGCATGCATAAAATATGCGTGTTTTTGATGACACACCGTATATATAATACACCACACACAACATTAATCCAATAAAATGGACAATGTATTCTTCTTCTTCGCGAGACAGTCGTCAATCACTCAGAGAATGGGAGCAATAAAAAAAATTCTTTTTTGGGCGTATAAACATGAGAAATGACATTTGTGTATAAGACCAAAATGAATTAATTGTGCGGAGGAAAAATACACTCACATGCACACGCACGTACACGGACACACAAACACATAAGTATGGAATAATTTGAGCAAAAGTCATCAACGTCACATGACATCTGCCAAAAATCCAAGACATTACTATATGACAGCCACAATTTGAACATTCAATGATCGCCTGCACTTGATTTTCTGGTTGGAATTTTATCTTTCACTTTTACCCACAACATTTAACTATTCAAGCATATCTGCTGTTTCTCATTTTTGTTGAATGCATTTTTCGTTTGTTTTTCGAAAGAGAGAATTTTTTGGACTAATTTTAAACGAGATAGAGAAATTTAAAAATGGGATAGAGTGACGGCCGCGACGGCATCAAATCAAATATTTGCCAATAGATGTCGTTGGCCTCTCGTCTACATTCCACGTATATCGTGTTGCTCAATGTAGTCCAGTTTTCGTTTTCTGTCTAAGAAATCATTGTCGTCAATTATATCTGTCTTTGAAAACTAGATTTAAACCTTGATTTATTTTTTTTTTCGTCTCTCGAATCGAAACGGTAATTAAAAACCATCATTTTTTCCTCCATGATTACTGAACGAAACAAGTGAGATAAAGATACACACGTCCTAATTTAATAAATCATCGGTGTTGCTTCGGTTCGGTTTTATTTGTTGTGTATTATTTTTCTTTTTTATTATATTTTCATTTTTAAGTTGGCAAAATTCGTGTATATTTTCAATAAATAACATTATCGGAAAACGATCTATGTACCCCGTAACGCAACCGCCGCCGATAAATTCGGCTCACAATCAATATCCACAACAACAACAGCAGCAATCAATGCCACAAACCTATCCACAACCAATGTCACCACACAATAATCCACAATCGATACCACCACAAAACAATCAGGCAAATGGCCAGCAACAACCAAAGCAACCAGCCTATGGACAGTCGATGCCACCACAAAATAATAATCAGGTAAATGGGCAACAAGCACTACCACCACCACCACCAAAGCCACAGGCCTATCAAACGCAAACGGTGCCACCACGTAGCAATCTGGCGAATGGTCCACAACAACCGTCTCAGCCACAGATTTATCCACAATCGATGCCACCAAATCAAACAAATGGTCCACCACAACAGCACCAACAGCCAAAGCCACAAGTTTATCCGCCTCAATCGATGCCACCACGTAACAATTTGGTAAATGGACCTCAACAACCACCAATGTCCCAAATTTATCCACAAACAATGCCACCACGTACCAATCAGATAAATGGGCCACAGCAACCACCAATGACACAAGCCTATCCACAAACGGTGCCACCAAATAATAGTCAGGTAAATGGTCAACAGCCATTGCCACAAGTCTATCCCTCATCGATGCCACCACGTAGCAATTTGATAAATGGGCCAACACAACCGACAATGCAACAAGCCTATCCTCAATCGATGCCTCCGCGTAATAATCAGGCAACCGGTCAGCAACAACAACAACAACAGCCGTCGCTGACACCAATGCCTCAAACATATCCACAACCAATGCCACCACTTAGCAATCAGGCGTATATAGGGCAACAGCCAATGCCACAAACCTATCCACAAACGATGCCACCGCGTAGCAATCAAGCGTATATAGGCCAACAACAACAACAACAACAACAACAACAACAACAACAACAACAACAACAACAACAACAACAGCAACAGCAGCCAACACCACCACATCTATATGCAAATAATATCGTTCAACGTGGATTCGATAGCATGTGGGGCCATAATACTGTCGATTTGATGCAAAATAGACACATTCTACCAACGATACCAGTCGAACCGCCAAAAATTTCACTCGAACATCAATTCTATGAGTCAGTCAATTGCAGTCCAGAGTATGTGTTATATATTCTTTTCAAATACGTCATGCGTTCGTCCAACTACTTTTCCGCAAACTAATTTTTTTGTGTTTCTTTTCCTTTAAAAAAACAGTATTTTCCGATGCACACTCACCAAAATTCCCGAAAGTAATGCATTACTACAAAAATCAAGGCTTCCATTGGGTATTTTTAAAAATTACCTTTCTATTATTTAATAATTGTTATTGATTATTGCGATTATTCTTGTTCTTTTTCGATTATTTCCAATTAATTCTTTTCTTTTGTGATTCTCCCCTTAGGTATTTTAATACATCCATTCAGGGATTTAAATGTAAGTCATTGACACATTTTCATTAATGATTCCGTATTATCAGATACATTGTAAAAGAAAATACCTTTTGTGACACGAGGAAGTGAAAATGAAAATGAAAAAAAAAACTGATCAAAAATCAGGTGACGTCAGTGCAAAAAATAAAACGTGTGTCGCTAAATCTCGTGTGAAATCAGATTTAAAATCAATCGCAATTACATTGCATTCCATAGTGTTGCTTACATTTTTATTATTCAATAACTCACCGACGTTAATGACTAGTTTTACACTTTGTTTTGTTTTCTTTTTCATTGAAAATATGTCATTTTACACATGCAGAATTCAGATCCACGTCCAAAAGTGCTTGACATTGAACACAAGATAGAGGTTTGAGTGTGTGTTGACACAAGATAGAGATTGAACTCAATTTCACCAGCCGGTCAAAGTTTGATACTATTCAAAAGCGATTTTTCATTCTCAAACAATGAGGACAAAGTTTACTTTTTGGACGTATCGAAATCATTTTTCACCACTTCCACCGAATGGATATGAAAATATGCATACGTTTCAGTTGCCGGAAGCTTTTAAATTCTTCGATTCAAATAACCTTATAATTTTAAATACCTTCGTTATCTGTTCTTCTTCCTAATTTTTTTTTTTTTTAATTCAACATTGATAATTTTTGTTTTATCTTCCGTACAGAATTTGCCGGTGATTCAATGTTCGACGATTGTGCGTTGTCGTTCGTGTCGAACATACATAAATCCGTTCGTCTATTTTGTTGATAGTAAAAAATGGAAATGTAATCTATGTTTCCGAATAAATGAATGTAAGTATCACAATTACTGGTGGATTTCATTTTATTACTTTGTTACCGCGAATCATAAAACAATTTACGAATGGTATAATTTAATTGTATATGCATGTATTACAGTGCCCGATGAGTTCCAATACGATCCAGTGAGTAAGTCATATGGTGATGTGACCCGAAGACCTGAAGTAAAATCCAGTACAATCGAGTTTATTGCGCCGTCGGAATATATGGTATGTGCTGCTGAATGTCCAAATCTATCACAATTTGATGTGAAATATTTTTTTGTTTCTGAATAGTTACGACCACCACAGCCGGCAATTTATCTATTTCTGTTGGATGTATCGATGATTGCTCAACAATCGGGCTATTTACGATGTGTATGTGAATCGTTGGCTGAACATTTGGATTCGATGCCAGGCGATGCTCGCACCCAAATTGGTTTTATTGCCTACAATAGTGCCGTACATTTTTATAGTTTAGCCGAAGGTTTTATTCAACCGCGCGAAATAACCGTTGTTGATATTGATGATCCATTTTTACCGTGTCCCGACAATTTACTGATTAATTTAAAAGAATGCAAAGAATTAATCAAAGATTTATTGGTACAATTACCAACACGATTTGCTCAATCGCATGATAGCAATTCGGCGTTGGGAGCAGCACTTCAGGTTGCATTCAAAATGATGGTGAGCAAATTTAAGAATTTCATCGCTTTGAAAAATGACATTTTTTTCGAGGAAAAATTAAATGGATTTTTTTGTCTTGTAGCAACAAACTGGCGGTCGTGTTACGGTGTTTCAAACATGTTTGCCAAATCTTGGTCCGGGCGCCTTACAATCACGTGAAAATCCAAACGAACGATCAGCCAAAGAAATTCAACATTTAGGTAGCAAAAACAAACTTTCATCTTTCGCGGCCAAATGACTAAAGAATTCAAACAGATCCATTAAAAATCTATAAACATATTTAAAAAATAAATTCAATATTTAGGTCCTGCGACTGATTTCTATAAACGACATGCTCTCGAGTGTTCGGGTCAACAAATTGCAGTCGATTTATTCTTGATGAATAGTCAATACAGTGATTTAGCTACAATTTGTGAGTGATTTTCTCTAAAAAAATCTTTTTCTCTCTTTCAATTAATTATTCATTTTTTTCGTTTTTTTTTTGTTGTTGTTCATCATCAGCTGGTATTAGTAAATTTAGTGGCGGTTGTATTCATCATTTTCCATTGTTTAACAATGCGAAGCCGCAACAAGTGGATGCATTCAAGCGTTGCTTCGAACGATATCTAACGCGAAAAATTGGCTTTGAATCTGTGATGCGCGTTCGATGCACACGTGGTCTTACAATTCACACATTCCATGGCAATTTCTTTGTGAGATCAACCGATTTGCTATCTTTACCAAATGTTAATCCTGACTCTGGTTATGGAATGCAAATAACATATGATGAAAATTTGGGCGAAAGCAAAACTGTATGCTTCCAAGCGGCATTATTGTACACAAGTAGTAAAGGTGAACGTCGAATTCGAGTGCATACGCTATGCTTGCCGGTTACAAATAGTTTAACCGATGTTATTTATTCGGCTGATGCCCAAGCAATAATTGGTTTAATTTCAAAAATGGCTGTTGATCGTTCGCTTCAATCGAGTCTCGCCGATGCCCGTGATGCATTCATCAATGCCAGTTGTGATATTTTCAGTGCGTATCATACAGCCCAAAATATAAAATCAATGAATAGTCAATTGATTGCACCGATGAATTTATCATTGCTACCATTGTATATGCTTGCATTGCTTAAACATCCAGCATTCCGAACCGGCACCAGTACACGTCTTGATGATCGAGTATTTGCAATGTGCGAACTAAAAACATTACCGCTCGATCAACTGATTCGATACATTTATCCCGATTTATATCATCTGGATTGTTTATTCAGCGAAAATAATAATGAAAATAGTACAGACGATTCAAATGGAGAACGACCCGATCCACCGTTATTACAGCTGTCAGCTGAACAGTAAGTTGAAACTTCGCTTTGCTATCGAATTGAAACTAATTCTCGTTTGTCTTCAAAACAGTTTAAAACAACGATCAATGTTCTTACTTGATTGCGGGACATATATTCTGCTATTGGTCGGATCACAAGTGCCGCCCACAATTCTTAAAAATGTTTTCGGTAATTCATTTGTGTAATTTATCTATAGCGCAATAATTTTGATATTCGAATAGTGTGGTTTGGATATATTATGTGTATTACTTATGACCAAACCTCGAATTCGAGATTTTTTTATTTTTCTTTAATTTCGATCAAAAATGAAAATTTGTGAGTTTTTTTTTGTATTTTTAGATGTTTCGAATGTTAGCGAATTACCAGATTTGTGTTTCGAACTACCAAACACAAGAACGACCGATTGCGATAATTTACATTCATTCTTGGAAGCAATCAATGTGGAAAAACCATACACACCACCTATTCAAATTATTAGGTAAATGCTTGATAAATTATCAATTCATTCGTCAAGAGATATTAATACGTGTAGATTTGTGCAGCTCGATTCTGCATAAACATATTTTAACCTTGGAACCGTCTTTGAGGCAAATATTTTCAAATTTTTATATGTTGTCGGCCAATCAAAACGTAGATAGCGGTCTATAACACATACCTATCTTTGACTTAAAAGAAATTCTGTCTATATTTTTTTCAAATCCAACTTTTTCATACAAAATACAGTAGGAGAACTGAGTGCTCCCAAAGACGAAATTTAGGTGTATCGACCAAAGACGGTTCTACGGTTAAATGTTTAGTTCTCATGATTGAAATCTGATCCATACGTTCTTTTTAATAAATTACAGAGATAATAGCCCGTACCGTTCAATGTTTGTTGAGAAACTAGTGGACGATCGAAGTGAAAGTAGCTTATCATATTATGAATTCTTGCAACACTTACGAACTCAAGTGAAATAATAATTAGATTAAACATGTTATGTTTCCAAAAAAAAACTAGAAAATATTTTACTCTTCAATTATCTACTTGAAAGAGTTTAAACAAAAAAAATGCAGTTTTGATTTACTTTCGTGTTCATTTTGAGTTTTGTGCAACGTAGAGCGGTGATAGCAAGAAAAAAAATTGAAAATAAAAATAAACAATATTTCTTAAATGAAAAAAAAATCATAGTATAAATAGGAGGAAGCCGGTATATTTTGTATCATCAAAATTGAAAATGCAAATTAGTAGCGATGAGGAGATGCAACTAATTACACTTATCGATACACACATAGGAAAAAAAAATATGAAAACGATTGAAAAGAAATAAAGAGAAAAAACCCAACCAAAACAATTTTAAAATGGATGAATTTTCTATCAATGCAAATGTAAAATTGCACCGCAATTTAAACAATTTTGACATGTATTTTGATGAAAAACACTGATCTACACCACTTTTTGTTAAATCGATAAAACGCATTTTTTTTTTGTTAGAAAAATGATGTTTACAATATTATTTATTTTATGGCGTAAAATAGGTTATCATGTTGCTCGTTCGAATGCACATGAAAAAATGACAAACAAATTATTTACAACAATAAAAAAAATACAATTAAAAATCGTGTCCAAATGTAATCGATCTACACGCGATTTAATAAATAATAGGAAATTATTAGGATATTACTCGGAACGCAATTCATACTTTATCGCAACATACATACACACACACATACAAACAAATACTGTTTACAGAGAGACCGCCGATAATATTATACTAGAAGCAATACTCCTGAAGCATGTATTCATTACTTGATGAGAGGAAACAAGTACGATTATGCCTAAAATAAAGAAGAAATCGAAATAAACATAGTAAATCCGGTTTAAACTGAAATGTTTAGTGAGCATGATTAAAAAAAAAAAATTAATAAACAAATATGATGAGAATATTATTCAAGAGAAGAAATGATGTAAGTGGTGATATGAAAGTATTCAAAATGCTCGGTAACTATAGTTAAGTGAAATGTGCGTTAAATTTTAACGCAGAGTATCATGATTTGCTGCTGCTCAGCATATAGCTGAGAGCTGAGAAATGCTGAACTCGTGCGGCTAACGCATACGAAACGGATGCACGCACACATGTATTCTCCCCGTTTAAACGGTTATAAACAGATGATTGGATGTTCAATTCAAAACTCAAAATTTAGTATCCAGTTGAGTTTGAAATTGTGTTGCGACCGACATATGAGAAGCTGCGAGAAAAACATCACATCGCATCCCTCGTTATTTTCCTTACGTAAGTGGAAGCAAGAGATGAGATGCGACGTGCTGTTTTTGCTCTCAGTCTTTCATATATTCTGAAAGTGTACATCTAACGCATACAAAACGGATGCACGATACATATTCCCCTTTCACTTCGTATGTTCGCTGGTATAGTGTGTTACCGTTGTACCGGCAATGGCGTCAATGGCAGCACATACGAAGCGAACGGGGAATATGTATCGTGCATCCGTTTCGTATGCGTTAGCCGCACGAGTTCAGCATTTCTCACCTCTCAGCTATACTATATGCTGAGCAGCAGCAAATCATGATACTCTGTTTTAACGAACACAATGATTAGATAGTCAAAAGAGAGAGAGAGAGAGAGAGAGAGAGAGAGAGAGAGAGAGAGAGGGAGAATTTATTCGAATGATAATGTAAGTTACATCAACCAGACGGGTTCAATACAATGGGTGCAATTTCTGTTTCAAATACTCGCAGAGAGACGACTAATGGGGGTCGCATCATTTATATTCATCCATCTATTCATCTTAAAACATTCAAGTGAATAAGTCAAATAAAATGATTCAAAATAATGCGAATGTGGTTTAATTCAACTTCTTTTTTTTGAACAGGCACTTTTTTTGTCATATTTTTTTTTTTTTTTTTTTTGGTATATCGACTTTTTTTTGGGTGAGTCAAATTTTCAGGTGACAAAATATCGATCTAAAGTAAATGGAGTAAAATGCAGACGTCATAAATCTAAACCAAAAAAAAATGTTTTATTACATTTTACAACTCAACAATAAATTTTTTACGATGGTCACCGGTTACAAACTCAAAAATTGAGCGAGTCAAATGGGCAAAGTTTCCAACACTCGAGATCATCGGCCAATTCAATTTTTGATAAATGAAGAAGTTGAAGAATTCCAAGCATGAATGTGTGTGTCCACAACCAAGGGATATTTATCATCCGTCGTACCATTTCCAGTTAAACGTGATGCTCCATTAGCTGGATCCAACATCAAATAATGATTTGGTTGGTTGTTTTTACGTACGGTATGTACACAAAAACGAAGAACATATACATTGTGCCAGTAATAAAATCATCGATCAAAATAAAAAGATGTTTGATGACGTTGACGTTCGAATTTATTTGCAATGAACGCACAATTTTTGAATAACTTAATTTCAACGAAACTTAAGTAGAATTGAATGGCCGACTTATATTATCGAATATCTTTTCAAATTTTGATAAAATTTATGGATTTTGGCATCGCATTTAGAGCGATGAAAGTACGCACAAAAAATATATGCGGCTAATTCAAATCAAGATGCGGCCAAATTTAAACTCACTGCGGTCATATTTTTTTTATAATTTTGTGTTAGAATTGACCGCAATTTACCGCATTCATAGTAAATTTACTGACACACGCATAAATGTCAAATTTCACATTCGTGTACGGTTATTTGAATATTTGATTTTGAAGTTTATGCGTGTTCGGTCAAATTTACTAGAATGCGATAAATTGCGGTCAAGTATAACACAGAATTATAAAAACGATGAAGATATGACCGAAATGAGTTTAGATTTTTCCGCATTTTACTTTTCCGCACACATAACATATGTCTCACGTAGGTTTGCACAAATTACAGCGTTTATTGCGCAGCATTAACAAACACCAAAATGTCAACCAATGCACGCGGTGCATTTATCGGCACCTCGAGACTACTGTCAAACTCAATTCGACGAAATACATTCATTCGCAATGTCGTACAAATTGGATTTGCGCAAGTCTGTCTCAAATTGCTTTGGCGGACTAAGTACAAACGAAATTCTCCATGTGTTTAAAAATAAACCAATCTGTCTTCGAACCATGCATTGTGTTTCATGGACTTAGTATGAAGATGAGGATTCTAGAAAAAGCAAATAGTCCGGTCGTATTCCATATCTGAGGGCTCAAACCTTTCAAAACTATCACCAAGTGCCAAAATTGCGTTGGTCAAGCAAACATTCATTTTTGGTGATTCTTATGATTACAACACATCCAAACTTGAACCAAAACAATAGATTTAGACACGATCATTAGTAATCAGCAAAATAAGTTACGAAAAAATTCCAAAGTGTGTCAAAAATTGGCTGTTCAATTCGCCTCATAGCATGTTGCACTGAAAAATTCATCATTTTGGATAGTGAAACATTCATCGCTATATCGAACCATGAAGGAAGTACGAATGATTTCCTTTGCATTGATAAAGTTAGGGCACTACTATATAACGCTAGAGACGTTGACAAACCGAACCGATAAAGGGTTGTTTGTATGGTAGGATCTTCTTTGGAAGGTTTTTAGAGCCATTATTCGAAAATTTAATGCTGTAACGTAAGGTAAAACCTCCATTACTGCTCCATTATCAACCAAATATTATTGTAATCGATGGGATTCGTTGAGAACTATTGGATTAAAGCCAAATTGTGCTTTGTAAGCAGAAAAAACCACATTAATGGCCAGAGTTGGTAAATGCACCTCACGAGTGCGCGCCCTTATAAGTTGTGTGCAACTCTTCTTGGGTGCGCGCACCTGATTCCATATAAATGTTGGGTGCGCGCACTTGGAATTTTTTTCTTGCTTATTTCAATATAAAAATCGTCAAAAATGTATTTTTTACTTAATTTTTTCCATTTTGAATTTTTTCACATGCAAAAACTGTTTACATGTAAAGCAATGTGGTTCAAAAGACAACCAGCAGGCGGCTACTTGTAGCTGTCAAAATATATAAGAAACACAATTTGACAGTATTTTGTATTGATATATTGAAGATGACCAAATAAAAAATGGAAAGATTTAAGTAAAAAATACATTTTTTTCAATTCTTTATATTGAAATAAGCACGAAAAAAATTCCAAGTGCGCGCACCCAACATTTATATGGAATCGAGTGCGCGCACCCAAGAAGAGTTGCACACAACTTGTAAGGGCGCGCACTTGTGAGGTGCATTTACCAACTCTGTTAATGGCTCACTTCTTAAAATATGACATTTCCATGAAAAAAAGACCATCTGTTTAACTTCACAAAAAGACACCAATTTGTTTATTTTTCTTCTGTTTTTGGCTGTATGTTATAGGCGGGGGTCCAAAATACTTAAAACGTGCACAAATTGGTTGGATGGATTGAGAGAAAGTTGAAAGAAATTGACGTATCGGTCTGCCAGAGCATGATTTTGATAGTTCGACACATACTGAGAAAAATCGAAGACAAAGGTCTATTAAGTGTGATGTGAATGTGCTATTCGATAGTCTATGAATAAAGGTTTATAGCCATAAAAAAGAATTTAATATCGTGTGTTTGTTCTTTAAATGACAGGCTTATGAATTTGTGCACACCTACGTGAGACATATGTTAGTGTAAGGTGAAAAGTATTGTAATCGGTCAAAATTTTGAAAACTTCAGAAACATGTTTTTTACCTATTATTGAGGTCAGAGAACACGAATTTGGCGTTTTTAAACATGGTTTTTGTTAATCTGTACGTCGTACGCAAATTTTTTTAGCAAGATTGCGCTCATCGTAGAAACTTAATTCAAAATCTGACTTAACAGGATGATTGGGGGTCTCGAGGAATAGAAATCATTAGATTTTGAGCGACTTTGGTTGATGGAAAAAAATTTCATGCTTGTAGTGATACCAATGAAAAAGAGTCCAATTTTCGTCCAAAAGTCATACTTAATGTAGACTTAAACACTCAAAAATCCGAGGGGGTTTTTTGGCACGAGAAAACCAAATCCGAGGTTAGTTTTGAGATACAATCAATTTTTGATACAGTTTCCTTGAAAAAAAATCACAAAAAATTGAATTTTTGTATGGGATCTATGTCTGTATGATATCGTAATGAACTGAAACTTTGCACAGGTTATTCTTTTCACAAAAAAAATAACATTCTGAAAGTTTGAAGAGATTTCAATCAAAATTAGGGGTACCTCCCATACAAAATTTTCAAAAACGATTTTTTGGCTCAAAAACGAATATTTTGTTTGAGAGATACCCTTAATTTTGGTTGAAATTTCTCCAAACCCTCCGAATGTTATTTTTGTGTGAAAAAAATAACCTGTGCAAAGTTTCACGCCATTAAGGTAGCATACAGACATGGTTCCCATACAAAAATCCAAATTTTTCGTGACTTTAGTTATGAAAAGTGTTTCAAAAATAAGTTTTATGGCAAAATTAACGTCAGAGATTTTTTTTATAGTGTTTGCCAACCGCCAAAAATGTCAAACTTATGACTAAGTGTGCGTGTACATTCAAAATACAAGCATTGTGTGCGACGCACATAGAATGTGAGTGTGCACACTACTGTGTGCGTGCACTGACAGAGTGAAAATTACAGCCCTGATCATGAAAGTGTGAAAAATCTTTTGCGACTACTTCTGCTATTAAATTAAAGAATATTTCGATGCCAAGGTTTGAACATATTTTTTGGTCTCGAACTTTCCGCCGCTTGAAAGGCTTGAAAAATCGAACAAATATTATTTTAAACTAGCTTAATAAAATACACAACTACCACCGTGCGGAAAAGTTCGTCTTACTCCCGTAATACTCTTTATTTTCATTTGAATTGGCCGCATATTGTGTGTAGAAATTGAGATTCCAAGAAAATTATCGTGAATAGAAATCTAATTGACGGTGTTTCTATGTAGGCGAAAAATATGAATTAGATTAGATTTGATTTACTTATCTCAGTTTGTTCGCTCCGTTCTGTTTATTGCAACCAACAGCTAAAAATGTGCTGAAACCCACATTTCTTTGAATATTTACATTTTGAAAGTAAGATTAGTAACAAGTTCATGAAACAAATTTCTGAACCAACAGGTATATCAAGCAATTAAACTTTGGAATTTGTTGGCTAATTTCCAAACTATCAGTACGGTATATGAAAAGTTTGTCTGACCATGTCAAATATGATTTATATTCAGTATTCAAAAATGAGTTTTTGGTTATTATAAGCTAACGTCTAATCAACAGCATACAGGATTAAGTTCAGTTTATTCATTGTGATATTGTTTGTTTTAACTGCAACAGCTAACTATAGTTGACAATAATCATAGTCACCCGATAGTCGAAACGTCCCAAAATAATCGCCTGACTGACTGAGTAACTATAGTCGATTGTTTTCCATACAAAATTTTAAAATTCATGAATATAGCTAACTATAGTCACTTACAGTCAATAGTAACTTAGTCACTCTTTTTCCAGTCGAAGAAACAAATATGAAAGATATTGATAGAGTAGAAGAATCACATGAAATAGAAACGTCAGAAGAGATTAGAAGAAATATTAATAAATACACGGCGTGTTACACTTCAATAAAATTTGCGTTGGTACTACAATTCAATGAAATCTTTAAGATTTGTTACACATTTCTATGTTCTCAGGAGAAGACTCACTTTCATTCTCGGACATTCAATTGTAACCTTAGATTTTAGCAAAAACTCCATCTATTGTAAATATATTTTCAACTAAAAGTTGTATTGAAAAGTCTCAATATTAATGTTAGATTTTTAACAATACGGGTAACACATTGTTATTGTAACAAGACATTACCGGTATTAGCTATTGATATTGTAATGTTAGATTTTGACATTACATTAATAGCTATTATAATTTTATTAACTAACATATGTCCATAAAGTTTTGGCAGTAAATTCAGATGTTCGCCATTTGAACAACAAACATACAATATTAAATTCTTTTTTATTGGTATAAACCTTCATTAATGGGCTACGAATAGCACATTCACCTTACACTGAACGGGACATTGTCTTCGATTTTTCTCAGTATGCGTCGAACCTTCAAAATCATGCTTTGGCGGACCAATATGTCGATTTCTTTCAACTTTCTCTCGAACCTTCCCGCTAATTGTTGCTTGTTTCAAGTATTTTGGACCTTCGCCTATAATTTACATCCAAAAACAGACGAGAAATAATTAATTTGGTGTCTTTTTGTGAAGTTAAACAGATGGTCCTTTTTTCACGGAAATGTCATATTTTAAGAAGTGAGCCATTATTGTGGTTTTTTCTGCTTGCAAACCAAAATTTTGTGTTAAATCAGATAGTTCTCAATGAATTCTATCGATTTCAACAATTGGTTGATAATGGAGCATGTAATGGAGGTTTTACCTTACGTTTCAGCACCAAATTCTCGAATATTGGCTCTAAAACACCTTCCAAAGAAGATCCTACCATACAAACACGCCTTTATCAAAGTTCGGTTTGTCGACGTCTCTAGCCTTATATAGTAGTGCCCTAACATAATCAATGCAAAAGAAACCACTTGCACTTGATTCGTGGTTCGACATAGCGATGAATGTTTCACTGTCCATAATGATGAATTTTTCAGTGCAAAATGCTATGAGGTGAAGTAAATACCCAATTTTTGACACCCTATTGAATTTTTTCATTACCTATTTTGCTGATTCCTAATGACCGGGTCTAAATCTATTGTTTTGGTTCAAATTTTGATGTGCTGTAACCATAAAAATCACCAAAAACGAATTTTTGCTTGACCAACCCGGTTTTCGGTACTTGATGACAATTTTGGAGGGTTGGAGCATTTAATAGGATTTATTTATAGGGAATACGACAGTACTTTTTGCTTTCTCTAGAATCTTTGTCTTCATATTAAGTCCATGAAACACAATATATGGTTCGTAGGCAGATGGGTTCATCTTTAGACACATGCGAAATTTGTTTTGAACTTAGCCGCCACAACCATTTGAATACGTCTCCGCGAATGGATGTATTTCATCGAATTGAGTTTGTTAGTAGTCCCGAGGTACTGATAAACGTGCCGTGTGCATTGGTTGATATTTTTGATTTTGTTTATGTGGCGCAATAAACGCCTGAATTTACTGCCAAAACTTTATGGACATATGTTATTACAAACATTTATGTTAATGTAATGGTTAGTAACATTACAATTTCAATGCTGGTAAATCTGTAGTTCGATGGCCTAAAGTCCAAATCCGGTGGATTTTGGCTAATCCATGACCTTTACTATCATCTCATTCCATTTTGCTATTCGAACAACAAGTAAATAAAAAAAATGCTACAAATGTTCGTGGACAAGCTCTGTTCCAAATAAATTTTTATTCAGAAAAAAATCCAGTGGTGAAACAATTTTTTGCTTGTTTTTTTTTTTTTCTTCGGTAGCATCTCAGACTGGAAGCTTACAACACATGATTTATTTAAAATTCATCGACAATGTATGCTTTAAGAGATGTTTTGATTTTATTCCATGCATCTATGGTCTTTTTCTTCGGCTGGGTAATTGAGCGCAGGCCGTCATTGGTGACGTGAACGCATCGAGCATTTTGGGCTGATTTGATTGCACCGATTTTATTTAAGGAACTAAAAAGAGAAAGCAACGTTAGAGATATTTTCATTGAGATAATTAATGATATAAAAATGTTTAATTCTAATACCCTGTCTTGGCGAAATCAGCAATGAGTTTCGATACAAAATTCCATGCATCTATTGTCTTCTTATTCTTTGGATCTTTACGGTTTTTCAAGGTTTGATTGTACAGGTTAACGTACGTAGGTTCATTTATTCTATAATTTTTATAAAAGAAGCAAAAAATAAAATTTCTTTGTTTTTTTCAGAAAGTAAAAGTCACAAGTTCATAAGTACTTGAAAAGATATCCAGTTTCTTCAAAGTGGCCCATTCCTTTAACTGCCTCCATATGTCTGACTATTTTATTAACATTCGTGTTCAAGTCAATGTCGAAACTAATAGTTATTGATAGGTAAATGGTTAGAAGATTGACATTCAAATATTTCGATTCTCTTTAATTCATGTGACTTACTAAGCGCAGAACGTTTTTCCTACTTTTGAGTGTAAATTCATGGTTTCATAGAAAGGAACTACAAAATTTGCATCCGAAGTCATTTGAACGAATTGATTCAATTGGTCAGGAGTCTCTGTAATCTCCTTATCACCAAAGTATAACTTCTTAATACTGGCTTGGACTTTTTGGTATTTCTGGCCGTTGTGAAATTAAGAAAAAATGTTAATTTAAGTAATTTCAAAACAGACAAAATTAGTAAATACCATTGAGTTTGGCGCCAAAGTAAGACCATGGTAAGGTATATGGATGTATGGCGAAGTCGTTTTCAAAGATTGAGTAAATGCATAAGGACTGAATGGATTGTTGAATGACATGAATTCCTGTCAAATAAGAGAAAATTAGAAGAAATTGAGTTCCTGCAATTCCATTCAGAGAATCACTTACAGCACTTGTGGTGGTTAGCACGACGTCCACGCTTTTACAATGGGCGCTGAATTTATTTTGTGCATAAATTTCATGTGGTCTTTGCGTTAAAATGGGTTCGACAGCTTTCTTCTTGTCTGTTTTTGAAAAACAATCGGATTTTTTTTATCTTTTCTTCTCTCATTAGTTGAGAGCATAGTTTACCTTCAACAACCGGAGTCCAAAAGAATACAAGTGAAGTTGCGGATAGATCAAAAGCTGGAGTTTTTGCTACAATAACATCGACTGGAGCATCACGCATGAAATTCAATATGTCCTCTGGACTGGTTTTGTCACCCAATTCCTCTTTGAATGCTTCTTTCAAAACGTTTACATTATTATTCTCTTTGTAGTATGACCAATAATTGAATGCGCTTCCACTCATCATGACTGCACGATTTACATATTGACAAGCATCTGACATGAGCTGGAAATGAACAGATGCTCCACCTAAATTGTTGAATAATTATTTATGTTAATTGAAGCCACATTTCAACGTAAATTATACGATTTTGATTCGAACTATTCTACACACCGGCGCTTTCACCAATAACGGTGATCGACTCTGCATCACCACCGAAAGATGCAATATTTTCTTTAACCCATTTCAACGCTAGACGTTGATCCTTGAGTCCCATATTTCCGGTGTAACCTGCTGTATCGAAATTGGCAAAACCAAATGGACCCAAGCGATAGTTGATCGAAACGAACACGACATTGTGCTCCATCAAAAAATCAGCTCCTTGATATAAATCGCTTCCGTCACCCTCAAGATATGCTCCACCATGTATCCAGAAGAGCACAGGCAATTTTTTATTTGTTTTGGATTCGTCAGTAACTGTGAGCAAAATAATAATTTACAAATAAACTTAAATTACTGTAAAATGAAATATGGATAATAATGTTTTTGTTTAGAGAAGAAGTACCTGGCGTATATACATTGAGATAAAGGCAATCTGAAAAAAATAAGGAATAATATTAACGCATTGGAAATATATTCCATGCATAAATGTTAAAAATTACCTTCGCTTTTGTTTGTTTTCATTCCCAAAAGGACGGATTGTCCAAGGACAAGACATGAATTTTGATATTCATTGGTGGTGACAAGTGGTTTGGACCATGGTTTTACCGGAACAGGTACCCCAAATCTTAATTTTCCAACTGGAGGTTCTGCATAGGGTATCCCCTTATATGAAATGTATACAAGTTGATTGACAAACGTTTTTTGTTTAACTCCAATCACTTCGCCAACGATCGTTTTCACTTTCAAGCCATCAGACTGGCAATAAACGATGGCAATGAATTGCCACAGTAATATTTGGACACGTATTGACTTCATCAGTTTAAAATGCAAAACAAAAAACTTGATATGACTATCAATTCAAAAGTCATAAAGTGCTCGGTTGCACCACCACTTTTATATAGAAATTTCGATCAATTATTTATGCTGGAATTTTCAAATGAAAATAAATATTTAAACAGCCGTTTATAATCGACAATATGATGAAGGTACAATACATTGGAAAGTCTTAAAAGAAACCGAAGAAAATACAGAAATTATGAAATTTCAGACGTCTGCTAATCAAGCGTATACTTCTCAGGAGAAGCTCCTGAGTCAATATTAATAAACAAACAATTTTGAACTTTTTATTCTTCTGGTAAAGAAATACGCAATTCATACTGAATTGCATGAATAATTTCTACAAAAAAATTAAAAAAAAAATTCGAAATGAAATGAATTTGGAGACGTAAAATGAAAGAAAAACATCTCCCAAGACATTTAGATGACAATGACACATTATAAAATGAAATAATAACAAAATTTAAACCGAATGGGAAATATTTGATGCGCTCAATTACGTAGATGAATATTTGATGTACTATTTTTTACATAATAATCGAATTATTACTAATTAGCGAATATACTGGATACACAAGAATTACATCATTCGTAATATGAATGAATTAAACAGATATACAAAACAGAATGACATTTTTTTTATTCATAGAGACCAATTTTATATTATAATTTTATGTTATCTTACAAAGTCTGAAAAAAAGTTTGATAACGAACTTTCTTATTTCAGTTTATTTCATTGGTAAAATGAATAATAAATTCGTTGTGCACAAAGGACAACCCGTGCAAAATTTGGAACGTTTTTCCCAACTGAGATTGGAATCATTTAAAGTTGTTTCGCATCATTTATGTCAGTCGATTGCAGTAGAGAAAAATATAACTGAAATCAACTTCAATCACAGTTGGCTATAGCCATCTAACGTCCCAAATTAGTCGTCTGCTTAAAATCAGAAAAATAGAAGACTAAAGTCGACTAGGTAGACGGTTTTAATTAACAATAAAATGTCTTACATCCGTAAGATGAACTTTTCCGCACTGTGATCCACAACATGCATTTATTACATATCTTTAACTGTAAATTTAAATTCACGACAAACCTGAATCTGACAATAGTTTTGCGAAACAAATAATTTTTGACACACTTTTCATACAAAAATTACTAAAAATGGGTATGATATCGTTACGAGGTGAAACTTTGTACGGAGTATTTTTTTCTCACAAAAAGCTAAAGAGATTTTCTGAGAATTTGAAGAAATTTCAATGTTTCTTCCCATACAAAATTTTCGTTTTTGAGTGAAAAATCCAAAATTTTGTTCGGGAGGTACCCCTAATATGCATTTAAATTTCTTTAATTTCTCAGAATGTTATTTTTGTGTGATAAAAATAAGCTGTGCAAAGTTTCAGCTCATTACGATATAATACAGGCATGACTTCCATACAAAAATCCAATTTTTTTGTAATTTTTGTATGAAAAGTGTGTCAAAAATTATTTGTATCGCAAAACTAATGTCATATTCGGTTTTCTTGGGCCAAAAAAAAACCCCAATTCCTATTTTGAAGTGTTTAAGAATACATTGATACAAAATTGAATTTTTCCCATGGACATCACACCAGACATGACACTTCACTCTATCAACCAAATTCGCTCAAAATCTAATGATTTCTATTCCTCGGCACCTCCAATCATCCTGTGAAGTCAGATTTTGAATTACTTTTCTTGTGTGAAAGTTATCGTGTTAACAAATTTTTGCGTAAAGCGTACAGGGTACAGGGTACAGGGTACGCACATACATTCGGACATCGAAAAAACGATTGATTCGTGTTCCCTGGCCCCAAAAACACCCAGAAAACACATATTTTGATGGGTGTTAATTTTTCGACCCATTCTAATACTTTACCTTACACACTAGGTGTGTACGGAAAAGTAAAATTCATTTTCAGTAGCAAGTCAGCTAGTCATTTCTTTTCCACAAAATATAATATAACGCAATTTTACTGATTTTGAATGTTCAGAACTGTAGATTAGTTAAAATCGAATAGTAGATACTTGAGCTGCATTTCTTGTGGAATTCAAATAAATTTGATCATTTGTATTTGTATATGACTCTAAATGGGAAAACACGAATTAAACATTTGGATTTACTAGGAAATATTAGAATTTATTGAAGAGATTAGCTAATGCAAAAACATTTTAGTATAAAATATATCGTCGGCATCACAGAGTTTAATAAATATTGTAATTAAATATATTATTCTCAGATTCCAACATGGATTCCAACGAAAATAATTTAAAATACATTCTTATGGTTAGTTATATTATTCAGCAACGTTTTCTTTGTCAATATAAAACAGAAATTCATTAGTTGACATTTGACATCACTGTAGTTGTACACTAATAAGAAGATATTAGAGAGAGAAAGAACTAGAAGATATTAGAGTACAGAAAATGCAAATTTGTAGAAATGGGCAATAATAAAAACCGTGTGTGCCTCCTAGATATGACTCCAGCTTGTAAATTCAGAACGATTTGTAGAAGATGATATGTTATTCATTTTGAAAATATTCAGACTCAGATGAATTTTCACTATACATTTGTCTCCTTCTAGCACATTACACATTGCTTTTGAATATCCAACACCACCTGTGTACGACAATTTTCGAAATTAAACGACACATTTTGAATATAAAATAATCAGGCGATTCCGATTCAATATCAATACCAATTAGATATTTGAATTGGAAAGTTCAAGCTTCTTGGTCGTAACTAACTTAACCTGTACGGTGAAAATGATTCAAAACATCGTATTTCATTTGTGTTTATGTGTTTTGATCGTGAATAGTGATGAAGTAAAAACAATAAAAACCAAATCCGGGCCGATAAGAGGAAAATTGCAAAGGACCATTTGGTACGATAAACCGTATTACTCTTTCAAAGTAAGATTCAAGGTTTATTCATTCAGCTTTTAGAATTCAAGCTAGCATTTGCCAATTTATTTGTGTAAACCTTGAAAGAATGATTATTATGTAGAACATTCCACATTTTTTTTTGGATAATTTGTTTATTTTCTTAATTTTTTTTTTCAATGAATTTCGGTTTGAAATCGTGTTTAATAAATAAATCGTGAATAAATTTCTATTAAATATAACGAAACATTTATAGAAAATGAAAATCTTCTCTTTCAAGGGAATACCGTACGCGAAACCACCCATCGGTGACTTGAGATTCAAGGCCCCAGAGCCGATAGAACCATGGAATGAAACAAAAAATGCCTACGAATATGCTCCGTGGTGCGCCCAAAGATCACGAAGACGAACTAGCGAAGGTGAGAGTGTTGGTTTAGAGTAATACAATATAAGCGTCATCTTTTTTCTTTTCTTTTTTTTTAGATTGTCTCTATTTAAACGTCTTCGTCCCAGACCTCAGCAGCGAAACTAACGTCAGTTGTTTTAGTAGCTTTACGAAAATGTTTAAAAGAAAAAAATTGCCGGTAATGCTCTATGTGCATGGTGGATGGTATGCGATCGGCTCTGCTGACGATACCTTCCAAGGGCCGGTAAGTCTAAATGTTTTTCTTATACATTCTGCAGATATGTTTGCACCAAAACCTGGAAAAATGGTTGAAAACTAATAATAGTTATTGGTTGTGTTTTTCAATTGATTAAAATAGGATTTCATGATAGAGCACAAAGTAATCGTTGTGACGGCAAACTATCGACTTGGTATATTCGGGTTTATGTCGTTGGGTAAATAAAATGTCGAAGGGTTAAGTCAATAATTCCAAAAACATACAGATACAAACAAAGAACGAAATCGTTCTATTTACAGAATAAAAATGAAAACTTTATTCACATAAATTGTCATTAGGTACACCAGAATATTCGGGAAACATGGGATTAAAAGACCAACAGCTTTACATGAAATGGGTGTATGAGAATATCGAAGCATTTGGTGGAGACAAGAATCGAATCACAATGATGGGCCTTAGTGCTGGTATTAAATTTGATTTGAACAATATATACATGTTTTGAGTTTTGTGGAATTCAAGATGGTATTATTTAAAAAATTATAATCAATTCAACTGACGTCATTTCGCGCAGAAAAAAAACATCATCATTCGTACGGAGCAGTACGGAAATATCAAAAGATATGAAAAAAATTCATAACAGACGAATTTGCTTTTATTTTAAAGGTGGTAGTGCTCTAGGGTTTCACATGCTGAATAAAGAATCGTCAAAATATTTCAACCAAATGATTTGCTTGGGAGGAACGCCCAATCGATATCACACGTATCAAACCGGCGACCATCGATGTCTGATGGAGTATTTGTTTCGTAGATGGTCTGGTGGTGGAGGTAATCCTAGCAATGAAGAATTGGAAAGATGGGTTAAAACAGCAGATGTCAATATAATTCGAAATTATCTGCAAGGTACGCATTTTAATTCATTATTTATTCACAGCAAAGCAATTATTTCATCAATATTGCTTCAAATATTAATTCAAATATCATAATAATAATTATTTAATTGACAATTTATTTCAAGAAACGTTCTCTAAGAAGTATTCGCCTTGGAATGCCATGATTGAAAGTGAGTAACATCTTTATTAAGAAAGTCATCGAGCACCCGATAATATCTTATTAATTTGCAGAGCCAAATGCAATACGCCCAATTATTACTGAGGATCCAATGACTGCAATCGGAAAATTGAAAAGTCTCAACAAACCCGCATACTATACTACTACAAAATATGTACGTTTTCATCATTTTATGGATACATATTCTCATGAGTTTTTTTACAGTACGAGTTTAGTTGTCAATTGCATTCTATTTTTTTAGGAATATTTGTCACCATTTATCATCGGCAGAACGAACTATTCCGAACCAAGAGCGGTGCGTGAATTTGTAAATAAGTTTGATATTGATTTGCCAATTTTTGGATTAAAATCAATACTTGATCAGAGAGTAAGTGAAAAAAAAAACAACAACTTTGAAGTGAACCATTCCATCAATACAAATATCTCACCGTAAATAAAATATCATTTTTGAAGCCAGAGTATTTAAACGACGTTCTCATAAAGATGCATCGCTTTTACTTCAACGTCACAGCATCCACCACCGACCAAGAGCTACTACGGCAACGTATCGTACTGGACTCAGACCTCTATTTTGTATATGACAACGATAAATGGATAGAAAAGCATGCAGCTATTTCAAAAAAAGATATCTATTATCACCGGTATATATTGTATTTTTTGAGGTGAATTTTTTGAGAAAACTCAAAATGCTTGATAGATTTTCAGCTCAAACTATGATCAATCCACATCCAGAGTATCCCGGGACCGGTCACGCTGATGAAGTAATTTTTATAATATATTTTCGATATATTTTTCATATTCATCTCTATATCTTTAAATCTTTTAGGTCGTATTCTTTTTAAGGTAATTTTGTACGTTATTACTAAATTAATCATAATACCATGCAGCAATGCTTTTTTTTAGATCTCAAGAGCTGAAAGATTTTCCAACCAAGGTAAAAGATAATATGCACATTGACGCGGCCAGCAAACTAGCTTTTGATCAAATGAATGTGATGCAAAAATTATTTTCGAATTTCATAAAATATGGGTAAATAATCTGTAAATCTATTGTAAATATTTGTATTTAAGTTGATTATGGGTGTGTGTGTGTATGTATTGTTTCACAGAAAACCGGTACATAATAATGATGTGATGAAACAAAAATTTAAACCAATCAGACGTTTAAGCAAATCGATCGAATTTAATTTTGTCGATGTTACAAATGACGGTTTAATCCCAGGCAAGGGACCATCTGATGATAGAATCAAGTTTTTGGATGGTATTATCGAAGAAGTGAAACGATTGGTTTCAGAACATGGCGACATACCTGCAGAAACACCAATTCAACAACGTTGTGATGCCATGGAAAGCGGACAGAAAATTTATACTACTACGACTCTTACCTTTGCAGGATAGTAACATATACGTATGTATATCATTTTGGCATCTTCGCCTCAATCGTTTTTGAAATTGACGCCTAGATAATAGAATTTTAACCAGCAAGTGAATTAAATTGAAATACAAACAAGAAAAAAACCATAACAATGTTTTTCTTTGCAACAAATTCAACAAACAATGCTATTTCATCATCGAACAAGTGAGCACGTGAATAATAAGCAATTGTATGAACGAATACATATAAGCCTCTTTGGAGATACGGCTGGCGCCCCGCATTATGGCCGCGCGCATTTTGGCCGCCTATGTATTTTTTTCAGTGGTTATAAAGTGAAATTTACGGTGGCCATAATGTAATTCACTGAAAATCATTTTTGGCTGCGCGGCCAAAATACACATTTAACGGCGGCCATAATGTAGTTGATTAAAAATCACGGCCAAAAATGATTCTCAATGAATTACATTATGGCCATTGGCCACCGTAAAATGTGCATTTTGGCCGCGCGGCCAAAAATAATTCTCAGTGAATTACAATATGGCCAACGAAAAATGTGCATTTTGGCCACGCGGCCAAAATGATTCTCAGTGAATTACATTTTGGCCACCGCGAAACGTCTGTTAAAGCCGCGTGGCCAGAAATGATGTTTAGTTAATTACATTATGGCCATGTGGTAAGTGTTGATTCTATCAAAATATATAATGAAAGAAGCGATAAGATTACTGCCTAAAATGATGAAAAAATAAAATGTCTTACATCCGTAAGATGAACTTTTCCGCACTGTGATTCACAACATGAATTTATGGCTCACTGCAATTCATTCGTTTGAATTTTATCCGGCGATAAATTGAATTTCATCAGGCGGCGGATATATTTCATTGATATAAATGAATTTCCGCTTCTTAACTGAATTCCACCCGGTCCGTGTGAAATTCATTTCTGAACTGAACACAGCAATGAAATCCCTACTACCGTGCTAGATGGTGTCGACACGAGTGACGGATTTTTAAATTTATTTGAACGACGCCATGTTACTATACTTGTCCATTACAACGTACATGTAACAGAAGAAACACACAGTCCATGTCCATGCTAGTGGACATAAACGATTTGAACTGTCAATGTGAACTAGATCAAGTATAGAACTTTACATAGGATCATATACGATGAATATGGATTACACAGTCTGTTTCAAAATACCGTCACCAACGTCGACACCATTTGACATCAAAATTTTGAGAGTAAAAATATGTGTTATTGTTGTTGTCGTTTCGTTGCTGTGGAACTGAATTTCACACGGACCGGGTGAAATTCAGTTCATTAATGTTTTTCACACGGACCGTAAATGTTATATACCTACTTAAAGCTTGTTCCTTTGGCTATAAAATGAACCCATATGCTTTTGAAAATATACACTAGTATTAACGCTACATCGCTCGGAAGGTGACTACCTCGAAATCGAAAATCACAAAAATGGTGGGGCTAAGTTGGCCACGCAAATTTTAGACAAAAATTATTCACAACTTTGCGTTTTGTTTTGGTTTGAACTGAAAGCAATATCTTTATTGATATATTTGGGATTGTTTGCATACAAAAAACTTTTATTTAACCCTTAACCGGGCAGGTCGGGTCTCTGAGGCCCAGTAGCGTATTTAAAAAAAAAGATACATAAAATCACATAAAATATTATTTCAATCAAATAAATTGTTTTGTAATATATTCTTCCATCCTTCTACTAATCGTTGATAAAAGTTGTTTTGAATTTGGTTCCCCAAGTAGCGCTATATTGAGGTTTGAACAACTACCATACAAAATGTCATTTTTTTTTTAAATGAAGTGCAAAATTTGTACTAAACAACTATTATTATTATTATTATTTATTCAGAAAAACAGCATACAGTTTGTTTAAATTACAATGTAATGAAAATGCTGGCTCAAAGCCCAATTTGTATGTCGATGACTTAAACTTAAAATAAAATTTAAAAAAACTATCACGATTGAACATTCCAAATTGCAACGAATTATTTTAATTTAATTTTTTTGAATATTTAATAAATGATCAAAAATTTTTTTTCGAAAAATGTCAAGGATTTTCGAATTACGAATATCTATTGGAACATTATTCCACATTTTTGAAATGCAATGAGCAAAAATATTCTCATTTGAAACTTTTGAAATCTTCATAACTTTTAAACTAAATGTATCTATTCCCGAACGAGTATTATTTTTATTTTTTTGAAAAATATTACTTAAATAAGATGGAACACCAGTTTTGTTAAATTTATATATGAAACAAAAAATTAAATATTGACGACGATACTGAACTGAACTACTGAACTGAAACTTAAATTGAACGCTCTAGAATAAAAACAATTTATTGTTTACTCGCATATCGAAACGCGACTCAAAACGGTTGCATATCAAAGCGAGACAATATTTCGTTACCAAAAGAATAAAGAACATTAACTTTTTATTATACAAAATGTGTAAGTTTCGTTTTTTGCTGATAACTAGCTACTGTTCTGCCTTGTTTTAGTAACAGAATTTTGTTTCGCTTTGATATGCAACGCAGTTTAACGGTATAAATATTTCACACTCTCGAAGGCTCGGAATAGAACACACAAAAAGTGAAAAAAAACTTCTTATTCTCAAATTTCATATACAATCAAATGGCTTGTATCAGCAATTTTTATTGCACAGTTGTGTGTCAGTAGAACGTTGTTTGTAAACACAATGCAATGCATTGAGAAATTACATGTAAGGGTGAGCGAGATAGCATTGAACAACGATTTGGGTGACAGAAATAGCAAATTTTTACAATCAGTCGCACCAGATGATATAGGCCATTTAGTTGTGCATAAGAATTGAGAAAAAAAATTCACTTTCTGTGCTCTATACCGAGTCTCCGAGAGTTTCATATAAGGTTGCCATTTAGCTGGCAAATAACACCCATTAAATAATATGCGAATGCCAATCGTGATTTGGATGATAAGGAATGCGGATTTTTTCATTCTGATTTAACCAGGTGACACAGAAAATTGAGTAGTATTTGAGAATTGAAGAAAAAAAAATATTATTTTTTTCCATTTTTCGCGATTTTTTACCATCTATATGGGAAGCTTGTATGAAAAACACGGAAGACCGCTGAAATGGCACTGTCGTACGTCCGCACATATTTTGCACATGTTTTTCATACAAGCTTCCCACATAGATGGCAAAAATTGGCGAAAAATGAAAAAAATAATTAAATTTTTTTTCTTCAATTCTCAAATACTACTCAATTTTCTACATCACCTGGTGAAATCAGAATGAAAAAAATCGCATTCCATATCATCTAAATCACGATCTGGACTTTTTTCACTGGTTGAGTGCTTTATACCGGTCTCCGAGAGTTTCATATAAACTTGCTATGTGATGCCTATTGAATAGTAAGCGAATACCAATCGTGATTGAATCAATAGGCGTCATTTGGCTATTGCAAGGCGAGTTTATATGAAACTCTCGGAGACTCGGTATAGAGCATAAAAAGTGAAAAAAAAATCTGATTTTTTTTCTCAATTCTCGAACACCACTAAATGGTCTATATCATGTGATGTGATCAAAACATAAAAATTTGTCATCTTTGTCACCCAAATCGTTGTCCAATGCTATTTGGTGGTTCAATAAGTCTTTGGCCTAACAATGAAAAATACATATTTTTGATCAAAAATCATTTTTATTATTCAATATAATCCCCGTCGAGTTGAACACACTTGGCCCAGCGCTCGGGTAACATTTCAATGCCTTTCGAATAATGAGTTTTGTCGAGTCCCCAAAAATAGGCATCAGTTTGCCATTCAACCTCTTCATTTGAGTAAAACTTCTGTCCTGCAAGCCACCTTTTCAAGTTTGAAAACAGATAATAGTCGCTGGGGGCTAGATCTGGAGAATACGGTGGATGAGGAAGCAATTCCCATCCTAATTCATCAAATTTTTCCATCGTCAATTGGGCTTTGTGTGGTCTTGCGTTGTCTTGATGAAAAAGAATTTTTTTCTTTGCCAAATGCGGACGTTTTTTCTTTATTTCATCATTCAAACGGTCAAGCAAGGCTATATAATACTCTTTGTTGACCGTTCTACCCTTTTCGAGATAATCGATGAATATTACCCCATGCGCATCCCAAAAAACCCTGGCGAATACCTTGCCAGCCCATCGATCTTGCTTCACACGCTTTGGAGGTCTTTCATCTGGTCCTACCCACTCCGCAGACTGACGTTTGTCTTGTGGTACGTAGTGATGGACCCAAGTCTCATCCATCGTGATGTATCGACGCAAAAATTCCCTTGGATTGCGATTATACAATGCCAAACATCGCTGAGAATCATTGATTCGTTGTTCTTTTTGGTCGATGTTGAGAAAATGCGGCACCCACATAGCAAGCAGCTTTTTCATGTGCAAATGTTGATGCATAATTGTAACCACTGACCCTGTTGATATGCCTATGGACTCAGCTATCTCACGCACTTTCACTTTTCGATCATTCAATAACATGCGGCGGACTTGTTGAATGATTTCGGGGATAATTGCCTCTTTTGGGCGACCTGATCGTTCAAAATCAGCGGTGGATGTACGCGACGAAATTCAGCAAACCAGTATTTGATGGTTGAACTGGGTGGTGAACAGATGCCGTAGCACTTATCTAGCCATTCCTTTGCTTCGACGGTATTCATTCCCATTAAAAAGCAGTGCTTAATCAAGACTCGAAATTCACTTTTTTCCATTATTTGAAAAATCTCAAAAGTTGCTTGATACTTATGCCTGTAACTTGTGAACAAATGCACGGATTGGGCTTAAAATTTGACAGTATTGTAAAGACAGGTGGTACTTGTCAAAAATAAAGAGATTTTTTATTTATGACGCCATCTGGTTGTCAGGCCAAAGACTTATTGAACCACCAAATATCTCGCTCCTCCTTGTATGTATGAATGTTTACAACCGAGTATCACTTGCGTTGTATATTGACAATGTATTTGAACGCGACTCGATTTAAGATGCGCCATCTCTGAGTGCAAATCCAAACCAAAGGGAAACTCTAGACACTTGGGTGTTCGTTTATATATTTGTCAAACATTGATATCTGTCAAAAGAAACAACGTAAACAACACGAAG